TTTCATTGCATCATACATCAAGAGGCATTATGTTGCAAAGTGTTAGCATGGAAAGATGTAATGAATATTGTAGAATCGACGGTTAACTACGTACGCAAAAATGCTTTGGCACATCGTCAATTTAAAATATTTTTGGAAGAATGCGATGCTGAATATGGGGATGTAATATATTTTTCCGAAGTAAGGTGGTTGAGTAGATGAGGTGTGGTTTTTAAATGGTTTTTTATTTTACGAAATGAAATAAATATTTTTATGTCAAAAAAAGGTAAAAAATATACCAGAATTATCAAATGAAAAGTGGGTTCTTAATCTTCCATTTTTTAACTGATATAACAACTTTATTGAATGAACTGAATACGAAACTGCAAGGTAAAGACAAATTGTTGTCAGATATGTATTCAAATATAAAATCATTTCGAGTGAAATTAAAATTATTACACAGACATATTAATGAACAGAACTTGGATCATTTAGTATGTTGTAAAATTGTATTCGAATCAACCAAATCAACTTTAAATTGGGAAACTAAAAAAATGTATTTTTTAAATGTAATTGAAAATCTACAAAATGAATTTTCCATACGATTTTCTGATTTGTACGTACAAGAGAACAAAATCAAACTGTTTCAAAACCCTTTTTCTGTCGACATTGACGATGTTGAATCTAATTTACAGATGGAAGTCATAGAATTGCAAAACAAAGATATTCCTTAAAATGCTTTTAAAGAAAGTAGTGACCTAAAAATGTTTTATTCAAGTCTTTCTGAAATAGATTTTAAAGGCATTAAAAGTTTTGCTAAAAAAATGATAACTGCTTTCGGTAGCACATATATTTGTGAGCAGACATTCTCAATACTTAAATTTCGAAAAAATAAATATTGTTCACGATTTAGTGATAAACACTTGAATGCTGTTTTAAGGATATCAACATTCAACATCTAATATAAAAGCGGATATAATCGAATTGCCGGGAAAAATTCAACCTCAAAAATCACACTAGTAACTTAATATTTGTATACTTAAATGCATTCAATAATTAATTAATAATTATTTTTAAACTTTTAAAATTGCCTACTAATGTATTTCATTAAAAATTAGTTAATAAATACAGCCGCAATGTTAACTCATAATATTTTTGTTGGTATCTGTAAATATATTAGTATTATATGTAAAAATTATATTTTTTAATTTTTTAATTTTGTATTCGGCCCTCCGCTAAAAAACTGAAACAAATTATGGCCCGTGTAGGTAAAAAGGTTGCCGACCACTGGTTTACTGTTTAGTAATTGTGTTACCATAACAGTAGTTTTACCTACTTACATAAAATGCATCCACATCATCATGGTTATATCGTACAGTATATTATAAATAAATTGTAAAACTAACTAAAATGTATTGTTTACTAATATGACGTATCTTACGACAGCATGCTAAAAAAAAAAATAACTGTATTAAATAAATATTATGAATATTAATGGCCTTGTAAATACCTATATGACTGTCATTGAATGGAAACAAATTATATGATTAATTATTGATTTTTAATTATTAATTATTATACTTTCAAAATATCTTTGATGACTTATATCATAAGATTGCTAAATTAGTTTTTACGTGATTATAAATGAACTAACTGATAAAATGATGAACGTTATACCTATACGTAACACATAGGTACTTTTTATTAAGTTACAGCCAAACGTTGATTATTAGTAATGTCTACTATTTTTATTTAAAATTTATATTTACTGAATATATATAGGCATAAATGTATTATGTCATGTGTATAGTATACTTTTTAAAGATCCCTATGTTAAATATGCCTGAATTTGAGAGGTGAAGATTCGATGTAAAGAACCGGTGGTCACCCATCCAGCAGCCTGTGACGCCGGACGGTGTTTGATCGGTATCATCCCGTTTCGCCGAATCCCACTTTGCCGACAAAAAAACCAGTTTTATATATGGATTAATAATAAATCCCATTTGGCCGAATCCCATTTTGCCGAAAACCCCTGGTTTTTACTCATCAGAGCTTGAGTAAATATGTTATATTTATCATATATGTTACGCAGTGTGAAACCAAGTGCTTTGAATCACAAAACAATATTGTGCACATTTAGAAAAGACGGCCGAATACGCTCGTTACGCCGGTTACATATATACTAAAAATATTTGAACCCGTGCGATATGATCGCCGAATAGAGCCTCTATCTTATTTTTTACTATCGATACAATGATTATGATAAGTACCGAACAGCATATATATATTAATATTATAATATATTCACATTCATATTTATTTTTTTTAGTAAATATGCACTACAAGTTAAACACAACTTTATTCTCTTTACATGTGTTTCCTACGCTTTTGAAGAAAATCGATATATTATAAAAACGGGAAGTAAGCTATTTCAGGTGACATCGTCGCGGAAACATCGTTCCGTAATCTTATCGCTGATAAAGTGACAATAATAATCTACAAATATTACACATATAATGATGGGTTTACGCAAAGTCACGATCTTTAGTTTGCAGTCCCCTTTTCCATTCGTGTCAAATAAGTTTTGTTTTTTAATAATTAATATGTCTTGGTATAAAATTAACTCAACCCGTGGACACCCGCTGTTAGTAGTGGATAATTATATACACAGAATTGACAGATCTAATGGAAATAAATGAATATTACAAATGTATCAACAACTGTGGAGGACGAGCAATATTAAGATCACAAACGACTGCAATAATATCTAAAACTCATAATCACTCAACGCATGGAGCTGAATTGGAGCGACTTGGATTTCGAGAAACTCTAAAGGTAAAATAAATCTTAAATTTGCTTATACTATAGTACGTATATAATTTATTATAATGTATATAATATATATAGTAATTTAATATATTACGCATGACTAAAATTGTTAATATTATATGATGAGTAAATAATTTATGAAGTTATATAGTTATAAAGTTATATATATATAGTTATGGATATTATATAATGTTTAATTTTCAAAATATTTCAAATATTTAAACTATAGCCGGGATATTCAACTAGTTATTATATGTTTAGGAAAAAGTAGTTTCTATCAACTAACTATTTTTTTATGACAACACTGGTACGCTGTTGAAGTAATGCGCAATCAGTTGATAATATACACACCATTAATGATTAATAACTAAATTTATAGGATGTGATGGTGATGACGACAAAATTGTTATATTTGGGAAAGGAAGGATTTTTAAGAAGACTGTGCAGTAGTGAACTTATTTTTATGGATGGGACATTTAAATCAGCACCTCAGTTATTTATACAAATTTATACATTGCATAGTTATGTCTTAGGAATAATGATACCATTGGTAATTATAAAAGTAAATTAATATGATATTTTAGTAAATAATAATTATTATATTTAATTTAATTTTAATACGTATGCATTGCTACCGAACAAAAGTACAGCAACTTAATCGAGAATGTTTAAGGTAATAAAAGAAGCAGCTCTAAGAAATGGATTAGTATTTAGCCCAAATACATTTCAAATTGATTTTGAAATTGGTATGATTGTTTCTATTAGAGAAACTTTTGGCTATGAAACATCTATAAAAGGATGTTTATTCCACTTGGGTCAAGCAATTTGGCAGAAGGTTCAATATTTAGGGCTTATTCGTGATTACAATCAAAATGACGAAATAAAAAAAAACGGTCCGCCGTATTTGTGGCCTTGTTTAGTACCAAAAGACCAAATAGATTATTGTTGGACAGAAATTCATGCCCAAGCGCCTGAACATGAAGGTAATATTTAATATATATATTCAGTACAATTGTTTACTCTTTCTTTTAATTTATATAAATAAATTATTTGGGTTTGGATAGACTGATGAGTTACTCCGTAGAAACATATTTGGATACCAATGTCTGTATATTTAATCGTAGCATATGGAACCACTACGAAACAGACCATATACGAGGACAGCTAATCACCTCGAGGGTTGGCATGCAGCACTTAACAGGACTATAAGTCGACCACATCCAAACATTTTTATTTTTATCAAAGAACTAAAAAACCAGCAGCAAAATTTTGAGCTTGATATTCTGTCCCAAAAAAAATGTAATCGAGCTCCAAAAATAAGAAAAAAGTACAAAACGTTGGAAGACAGACTAAAAATTGCAAAAGAGCGGTAAATAATAGTTAATTTATTACCTATACAATAATAATATATTAATTCCTACAATTATACTTTAAATTTTAAGTCAGACTTGGAAATGGACAAATAACAATTATGGAATATCTAGACGCGATCATATACCACTTTCGTCTTGAATAAAAAAAAACTTGATTTTACCTAACCTATATATTATACATTTATACCTAACCTATATACTATACATTTATATCTAATCTGAAGATATAAATAAAATTAATATTTTATTTATAACTTCTTTTTTTAACATACAACGAAACAAAATTGTATTTAATTATGATTCGGCGAGATGAGTATCGGCTAAATGGGTTTCGGCGAGATGGGTTTTCGGCGAGATGGGATTCGGCGAAACGGACCTAAACCGTTTGATCGCAGCATACAATAGTGATTTTGGCCAACTACCACACCACACCGGCTACTATTTTTATTTCATTCTATTAACTATCTACAGTCTACACTGCCTACACTGTCAACTAGTATAGTAGTATCAATAATCAAAAATACTATTGTTAAAATATTCAAGTTGTGTACGAATTATTCAAGGTAATGTAACTATGCAGTAAATAATGTGGAATAAAATGATAAATATATTTCATGAAAGAACCTAACAATTACCATTTTTTTTTTATATATATATATAGTTAATATCATTGATTAAAAATAATAAAAATGCAACTATTTTTTTTTTTAATTCAAAAATTCATTCAGTCTAGGGTTAATATTATGTTTTTTGACTTAATATGAAATACAAATTTCATGTTTTAATTTAAATATAAAACTATTGTAAGTGGTTACCTTTAACCTTCTTTTCATTTTCATCTATAATTTGTTACACTATTAAACTTATTTAAACAAAATTATTTACACATGTTATTGCTCAGATTACTACACGATACGAACATATATTTTGAATTACAAGAGAAGAATATTATGATTATTTTAGGTACAGTATTAGAATTTGGTGTTAGTAAAATAAAAATATTAACATTATCGTTTGTCATTAACGTATAAGATCAAATAAAATTTTAAAATTTTAAAAATAAACTAGTTCAGTAGCGTAGCCATGTGGATTTTGGATGTTAAGCTACATGTTTTGTATGCATACCAGATACCAGATCTGCCCTTTATACTGCAGGCAACCAATAAACAAAAAAAAAAAAAATTTCTACTAAATATATTTATATTTCTCCTATAACCAATAGCAACCGTAAATAAATACAAATTTCCTTCGTAAATCTTAAAATCCCTGCTTGAGCAGCTAAACGGGTCGGACCTGTCGGGTCCAATTATGAATCTAAACCATCTAGGGCGTCACCCAAACGCATACAAAAAATTTCATTAAAATCTCTCCTGCCGTTTAGGAGGAGTTCAGTGACATACACACAATAGAACTACTGATATATAAAGATAATAATATCAATATCAATAATATAGTAATACCCTATGTATTAAAATATAATAATAGATCAAAATTAATATAATATTTTAACATATTATGAGAAACTGTTTTTTACTTCGCCAAAAAAAAATTGGAATTTTACATGTCTCAGTATTTTAGAAAATACCTAGGTTATATTGAAAATCATATGTTTCATTTGTTTTAATGTATAAAAAATAAAAATACATATAAATTTGAGCCATATTTATAAGTGATCATATTAACTTTTAAGATGAAATATCTCGACATGGTGAGAATTGAAGAGATTATATTGACAATTTTATATAGATAGTTGAAATACAAATAGAAATAACAAATATTTCTTATTAGTAATTATTAGGGCTAGGAGTAGATGCATTTTGCATTATTTTTTTTAGAACTTTTTAGATGTAATATAATATAAATGTGTGTGTTACAGTGTTTGTATTTTCCATTATTTTATTATTATACCTACCAGAATAATTTAGAACTAATTTTTTTTTTTTAGAAATGGAGAAGATTTTGCGATCTCTATAAGAATATGGAAAACTACAATTTCGGTACATTAATCAGAAAGGATGTTCATGGAGACTACAACGAAAGCAACAGCTTTATAGTTATAAGAATACAGTTTTATGCTATTGAACTAGCAAGAAATAGAGAAGGATTAAACGATATTCATTTTATAAATAATATTTATGATAAGGATGACTTTGAACCATAAAAATATTATGTGTATAATTTATGCATGTACATTTCTAATTTGATTAAACGGTTTATGTATGTAACATAATTTTGGCGATAAAATAAATTTAAATGTTTTTACTTGATCCCAATTGATGTGCAAGTTATTTAATTTTTTTTTACTTTTAAAACATATTCAGTTATATTGATTCTTAAATTTATAAGAACATCTTAAATAATAAAAAAAATTGGCATTTTACATGTCTCAGTATTTTAGAAAATACCTAGGTTATATTGAAAATCATATGTTTTATTTGTATTGCCTAAAATGGGTATAAAAATTATTTATAATGCCTAAGCGTTTTGCAAAATACCTGATTTATCGATTCTGCCTTTGACATATATATGGGATTTCGTATCATTATTAAATATTAAAATCACGGAAATAAGTAATAAATATATTTAATATTATAGGTAAAACAATAACGTTTATAATAATATTAATAACATAATAAAGCTTATCTATATAATAAATATTATGTATTAAAATAACGGTTATCTATACATATATAAATGGAGCCAAAAATGTATAACAATTCATCAATTGAGAACGGCTGAGCTGATTTGGCTCAAATTTTTTTTTAATTGTTCGTGATTACCAGGAGTAGATTTTTACGAAAAAAAGTTTGGAAAAACCCTTTTTTTTAAATTTTTTAAAATTTTTTTGATAATTTATTTTTTGAGTTCCGGAATGTTTTATAATATTTTATATTTTAATATTTCTTTTATATAAATTATATCTTTAGTTTATAAAGATATAATTAATCGTTAAAATGTGGCTGTCGGCTGAGTTACAGCCGCTCATTGCCATGTATACATTCAAAATAGTTAATAAAATTAAAATTAAACATATTAATCATACATAGAGTGTGCACCTAGCGGCGTCCGCAATCCACTGCAGAGTGCAGATTGTTAGCGAGTCTCATAGGTATAGAGTCAAGGATCAGCTAGAAAAGATATAATATTGATATAATATATCTTTGTTTCGACACGAAACTACGACAATTAATTTGTCTACTGACGGTCGTACGTAGCAATGGCTGCAACCGCAATATTTATGACGTAGGAATTCTTGCCGAAATTTTAAACTACAAACTAACGTAATATTTTTATTAAGTCGAGAGTTGTATGGTAAACACCGGATAACTCAATTAAACAAATTGCGTTATCCAAAAATAATAATACTTTATTTATCGATATGCGATAAACGTGTTAACTAAACAAATTATAATTATAACTATAGAATCATTTTTTTAATAACAATATGTGTATATAATCATTAGAATCATTTATAAATATTATTATAATTTTTTTTTTTTAAAGATTTTTCAAAATTAGACCTCTAAGGGGGTAAAAGGGGGTTTTTTATATACCTATATAATACACGGCCGGGCAACGCCGTGACGGGACAGCTAGTATCATATATAAATCCAATATAATTAAACAGTTATACATTTAAATTGAACTATGTAGTTATAGTCACTATACTAAATTAGTATTTTTACAATTATATTATTAGTTTATTTCAATTATTGTCAGTTGTAAATAAAGTGAACGTAATCTTTCCACTTTTTTATATTAATGGAGAAAAAGCATAAGTGAAAATATATTATTATCTACGTGATCCATAATATAACATTTCAATTCTTACAATAAACAGTTACCAAAATACAATAACTGAAATTGTTGATGATGGAAAAAGGAGATATGTATTATTACAATACTTGCGGTAAGCGGAAAGGTCGATTGTGGGGGAAAACGGTGACGACCAAATTTATACATATTCCCCCCCCCCCCATGCATAATCCTGGCTCTGCCACTGAACTGACTTATAAGTTATTAATACTCGTATATCATATTTTTATTCTAATTAGCTAATTCTAAATATGTATGTTCCTTGTTACATTTTTATCAAAACTAAAACAATGTTTAAGAAAAATAATATTTTAAATGACAAATATAATATTATTAAAATTTAGACTACCAAACTCTTTTAATATATTATTAAACTTACATTTCTTTTTATTATTCATTTCATATTCTAATTTAAACATAAAATTATTGTTTGACGTTACCCGGAACCTTAACTTCTTTCTGGCCTATACCTAATGAACATCGCCATAAAAGTTATTAAAACGTCATAATAGTTATATAAACATAGCAGTTATGTTATATACTTATATAGTTATATGTGTAAACCATATTGAGTTATTTTATTAATTATATGTTTTTGACTTAATATAAATAATAAATCTCATGTTCAAATTTAAATATAAAACTACATATTAAAACTATTGTGTTATATTGTATTATAAGTGGTTATCTGCAACCTTGAGTTCATTTTTGCTGATAATGAACATACATACCGTATAATTTATAACAACTTTATCAGAAATAATACTTATTGTTCAGACTACTATACAGAACAATAGCATACATTATGCATTACAAGAAAAGCATGTGATTAATTTCTGAATATTGGTAGGTACGATTAAAATAATTTGTGTTAAAATATAGACTATTTCTTTTTTAATATAATATTAGACGTATGTTTCTTAATAATATCAAATTCATGTTTTAATTTAAATACCTTGAATTGTTACAGACCCTTCCTCACTTTGGTCCATAACAGACATCACTGTAAAAAATATCAAAATTGCATAAGAAATCATAGTTATTGTTCAGGTTATTACACAGAACAAGCACACAATTTGAACTAGCAAAGTAGAATTCGACTAATTTCTGAATTGGTAAGATGTTAAAGTTTTGGTATTTATTAACAAATTAATAGGTTTACAGTTCATAAAGGTACAATGATACAGCTACTATGAAATGTTATAGTAAACCATCTGTGTTTAAGACCCATATGAACAAATAAGGTAACCCACACACAATATAAATCTACATAAGTATGTATTTGTTTCTACAATCAAAGGTATCAAGAAACACGCTGGGTATTATTCTATTTATTAAGTAGTTTCCATGATTTTATTATAAATTACAACATGTGATTATTTTATGGGGTGGCCTCCTTTTCAGCTAAAATATACCCTTCCCTTTTCGGCAAGTGTCGCTCTTCAGTTTCACCTATTTACAGTTCCCTTTTCGCCTTTATCCAGAACAGTTTTCTTAAAAATTTAAAATTACAACTGCTGCACTGAACAATATAATGAATTAAAATAATATCCAAAAGTGCGGTTTTTGATAACAATATTATTACTTATAACCGCTTGAAAAAATAATGAAATAAAATAATTTGCAATACAATTCAACATAATATTACCTTTTTCAAATAAAAAAACAATTAATTTTTGTTTGAAAACTTTTTCTTTCTTCATAGTACTCTCTTTGCAATGCAAATAAATTTAATTTCGTTCATATTTGGTTTTTTGGAAATAAAGATAAATCAGTGTTGTTACTTGAAATAATGTGATTTGATTCTGATGTGTCTGAAATCTAAGTACACGTTTTGCAATAGAATAGTTATTGCTTTGATATTTAACTTTGAGGCTGGTTTATGGTAGAAAATAAGATCTAATTAGTATATTGGAGGTTCAAAAGAATCTTTATTGGTGTTAGAGATTTAAATTTTTCACTAAATTTTTACATTGGAAATGCTAATTTTGTGCCAAGACTAATCCTATATGAGTAACTCCCGATCTTAATATAGGTAGGTGAAAATTTATTGTAAATGTTAGTTTATTGGTTTTTAATAGTAAATAGGTAGGACTGGTAGGAGTTTAAAAAATGAATAAGAACCAAACTTTGACGCTGACCGCAATAGTACAAACACTAAAATAACAACCAGTCTACGGTGCTTCCGCCACCAGTACGAACTTCAAACAGCGAGACCAGTTCGCCTCTCCCCTTATGCCGGATTAAGAAGCAAGGCGTGACGGAAGACTGAGTTTAGATGTAAGTACCTATGGTCGGCGACAAAAGCTAAATACAAATACCGTAGTGTGTCGTCGAACTGATTCGATGTCCCAAAATGGCAAAACCCACCGCATTCGGTCTTCAACACCAATAATTATTGTTGTTTTTTTGTCCAAACTGTCGTCATCTGTCAGAATGTAATATTATTCGGTAATTTAGTACATTTGATGATGCTACTGTGATTAAAGTAATTTATTTTACTATTAAGCATTAATCGTACAGTAGGTTCAATTCATTTTTGCCTCAAAAAATACATTTGAAAAGTCACTATGTGTATAAAATATTACAGTATCAACTAAGAGTTTCAAGTTCCCGCGAATAATATTTTTCAAATTAAAAAATATAACTTAAAATCAATATTCTTTGTTGTTTGATAATATGTAATTTCGTCCAAATTTAAACATTATACAATAACTATAAAAAAATTCTGTGTTTATGTATTGTTTAGATTTTTTGGCTTCAGAATAAACTAATTGTGTGCAACTTTGTTTCAAATGTTTGATCCTCAGCTATAAAACTTGAACATTTTATAAAAATTTAAATACAAAATAATTTGTAAAATTTCAGTTTAGTAAATGTTGTCAAAAATTGAACTTAAAATTCTTGTAAAACAAATTCATGCCTAATTTTAATATTTTTCAACTGATTATGTATGAATTTATCAGGACCCTTGTATTTAATTGTCAACCTTTTTTAATCAATCAAATTATTTAAAATTGATAATGTCCGTAAACAACTCAAAACAAATCAAAATATTTTGAAAAACACATCATTGTATAATCAATACATTCATCGCTCAGAATCTAAAATGTATACTGTTAAGAAATAAGAATATACCCAATAATATGTATAATTAATAATAGACAAAGTGATAGATATTAGTAAGAAGTAATAAATTAATAAGCTAAAAAGAATCAAAGGGTCACATTTAATTGACCAGCTTAGCGGTTGCTACACCCTCATGCGCTGTCTCCGTCTTACAAACGCATAACATATCTAACTTTTACGCTCAGCCGATCACAATAAATTAGCTCCGTTAGTTTAAAAATTGGAGTGAATTGACATTTTATAAAAATTAAAGATAAGATTATCTATTTAATCTCATAAGGTTTTTTACATTTTAATTTTAAACTTTATCAGGCATTTTTTTAAATAATAAATTCTTTATGCATTTAAAAATAATTAAAATGGTATAGAGGCTCATGTTTTAAAAATTTTAATATTTGAAGATAATGATTACAATATTATCATTTATCACATTTGTAGATGGAATAGGAAATAAGGCATTATATTATGAATTATTTATAGGCATATGAAATTTTCAATTATTATTTGTTTTTTTTAAACTAATTTCGAAAAAAATGTACTCGCTCTGTCAAAGAACTTGAAAATGTTATACAAGATTAATCGTAAGTTTTTGTTAATGGAAATTAAAAAAAAAGTTAAGAGTAGGTACATCCATAATAATTTTGTATGACCCTTTGAATTCAGAATTTTGACAAAATTAGTAAAATTCACGAACATTTGCAAATTATTTTGAGTAGAAATTTTATAATAATTTTGATTTTATATCTAAGATATTAAAATATAATACAATATTCCTTATACGTTTGTTAACCTTTATCAAAAAAAAATTTCCACCAGAAAGTCAAATTAAATTTTTATGAGAATTTGAAGTTGAAATTCTTTAAACATTAGATATTCACTCGATTTCTCATATATATAGGTATAGCGAACTTTTTTTTTTGTTGTAATGCGAAAACGAAGTACTGAATATACTTGAAATTTACACCATGTCACCATATGTTATTCTGTCAATTCATACACTTAAAAAAATTTTGACTTGTTTATAGCTGTTGACGGACATTTGTAATTTTCACTATTCACTATTTTTTATTGTAAACCATTATAATTTTAAATTTTGACAACATTTATATCGTTCAAAATGTTCAAATAATTTTATAGATAAAAATTTTAAAAATTTTGAACTTTAAGCTAAAGGTCAAAAATTTTAAATAATTATTTAATATAATAATATTTTTATTTTTATTACATTTTTTTTTTATTCATTTTTTATTTTTTTTATTACATTGTTATTTTTTAATCAAGTTGGATTTTATTTTTTTGCATCTATTCTAACCAATACAACTTCAAATCATCATTTTCTAACATTCTTTAATAATAATAGGGAGCGATGTAATTAAAAATTTCTAATTTCGAAAATAAAGTCCAACAAACTTTGAAAGTCGCCTAACAATTTCCAACAACTCGCAAACAAATTTGTAAAACCGTTTTAAAAGTTATCTGTTATCATTGCACTGCTAAGTTCATAAGGGTCAACCAACACTCTTATAAAATTAGAAATAACTAATCGGTAGTCCTATAGTCGGCAGTAGCAACGATAATAATATTATTTACCTATTACTTTGATTAACATTTATAAAAGTTTAAAAACACATTTGATACTAACAATAGGTATAGTTAATCAATAAGTTATAATTTTTTCAATAATTTTGAGCATAAAAAATAAAGTAGAAATGAAAGAAAATTTCGATAGGTCCGTAGAACACCAGTTAGTACACACTAGTCTAGTTCCACAAAAAATATATTATGCTCAAATGGTCGTAAATTTAAGGTTTTTTTGTTGTTCAAAATATGTATAAAAAAGATATATGCTTTTTGTTTTTAAGATACACATTTTTACCAATAGTGAATATCAGCAGTATTATTTGTAAATAAATAAAAAAAGTATAAAGTATGTAGAATTGTCAACAATGTTTGCAGCTGCAGCCTATGCTGAACAAGTGTTCAAAAATACTGTTACGGTGCGCGTGTGCCATCAATTGTTTTCAACTTTTTAAAGCTAAAAAAGTTGGTCGCGAGAGTTAAAGGGCAAATCACTCCATGCAGTGTTCGGTGTTATTTAAATACATTTTTTTGTATTTTTATCTCATCTCATTCTTAACATATTTGTTTACAAGTCACTATACTATCTAATCTAGTTATCTAGATGTTAAAAACTTCTTATCTTGCAATCAGATCATATTTTCAAATTATATACGTAGATAACAATAATCCAACTAATATTCTGGTTTTATATTTTTTGGAATATTTTTTCGTATGTTTTTTCGTATAAATCCACCGTTTCTACACGGGTACATTCCATCATGAATTAATTTAACGTCACCATAATCTAACGTGTCAAAACTATTCTTTGAAATTTCAGAACGTATAATTTTAATTGAACGTTTGAACGATCAGTCATGTCTTTGGCTCTTTTTTACATTCACTTCGAATAAGTTGAAGATTTAATTTTTTCATCAGTTATATTATGGTTATGCTTAATATGACAATTACTACTTACAATTTCATATCCATTTTTAATTATTCTTTCTATACACGATTTCGTTGTACAACGTCACGTTACATTACCAGATAAGCTTTCATACTACATTTTTCTAAATTTAAAACTTTGGACAGTTAAGAAACCTTTAAGATTGCTACTTTCATTTTTTGCAAGTATAATTTTATTTTCTGTTATTTTTGAAACAAAAAAAAACCAAACAGAAATAAATATGTGAAATACGACGATGACGACTGACTAATTGGCGTTTGAGAAATGACGTGTTGACTATCAAGATAATAAAAATCGTGCACAGCAAAGACGGAAAGTTAGAAAATATGATTATGTCGAATCACGACAGTTATAGAAATTAAATTGATATCGGCTCAAAAATGAAAATAGTTGTATAAAATTTGATATAATATACTTTTGAACTATGTGTTATTGCAAAATGTATTGATTTATAGTGTACCTAATTATTAGTCATTGATCAACAAGTATTCTAAAGTATTACAATTGTATTAATCTCAATCCGGATTTTTGCACAAAAGAACAAATACGGTGTTTAAGCTCAAGCACATTCCACCTAACGATTTCGTTGTTTATTGTAATTTAAAAATATTATTCCAAGTTGAAACTTTTGTATTGTTTATATATTATTCGGTAAAAATACATTTAACCTACTGTACTACTATTTTTACTACTTTAAGTTTTAAATAAAAAAATTATTCTTAATACAAATATGTAAAAGTTTAACTATATAAATACAAAAATTAGTTTTAAAAAAAAATTGTAGCTTTTAATACATTTTAAACCACCTCATAACCCCTATTTTATAAGTATACGTCTGAATTATTGAGGAGAAGTGGCCGAGTTAAGTTCTGTTCATGACTATGACCTATAATCTACATGTGTATGAATATTGTATAATTGTATATGTCAAGATTGTGGATACCTAGTTCAAATGTTACCAATAGTTTATATTATCATTTTCTATACGTTTGTACATGATTATATTTTCAAAATAATATGTTGGCTCTATTTGAGAAATTGTTGATTTATTATTTTTTTATTTTTGTACATAATTAATAAAGTTAAATAATTTTTCGTTATAATATTATCCATCATGAATAGTATACCTAACTGAACAAATAGGTTTGTTACAGTCCCTTTTAAGATACATATAGGCAATATAATATGCAGAATTGCGGTTTCCACTCATAGAGTAATACCACAGATAAAATTAATTTTTATTAATTAACCTGTAGTAATACCTACTCTATGATGAACTATACATATAATATACGTATTAACGTCCGAGGTATGATGGAATCGTATCCATGATCCGTTCTTTGCAAGACCGTGGTTGTTGCAAAAATGTTGTTATTTTTTATTTATTAATTATTAAATATTGTAATTAAGTAAATATTATATCAATATATTAATATATTTTATTATTTATTATTATAAATTATTTACAATATTATATTTTATTATTATTCTGTGGTCATAACAACTTATTGTGGTCGCTCGTGGTTATCTGTCGCCTCACATACATGTGACCTAGCTATCAGAGCTTTTTGTAGTATTTTCTTATCACTGTGCGTCGATCACCGGACGGCAAACACCGAGAGGCTCGTGTCCGGATTTGCATTTTCTGCGTACTGTGTACATCATTATTTATTCGTCTCTTGTTTTTCTGCTGTTTTCCCAAACACTGCCGTTCTACAACCGACTAAGACACTTACATACTTACGTCTGCTGTTCCACGACCGAGCGTTTTGTGGTATCTTCGATTTTTCGTCATGGACAATATGACAGTTGCAAATGGTGTGGTAAGTGCCCAGCCTAGACGACGGCGATATCGTAACTTATTCGATCGCACATGACATATTATGTACCACTTATCTACCTGATAATATTAACGTGCATGTCCATTTACTCGCCCACCCAACCAAGTGGGTTTTCTAGGCTCAACGAAGTCATTCAGTAGTCGGAGAATTTAAATAGTCAATTTACGTTCATGCATACTGCACGTACCTATTGTTGCATGACGATTTAATTTTACTATTAAAAGTTGTTTAATTGTACTGTTTTTGCTTATTAATTTTCCTACACTTTTGAATTATTTAGGATTAATTACATAATTAATTTTTCTTTGTCATTATTTAACAATCGTATTATTTTTACTGTCTGTACAATTATAAATGCAAATACTAAGCCTTTTGATTTATACATAAATATTTTAGTTATTTTGGTGTTAGTATGTTAAATACAACTAAATGTAGACTACCTATGTTTTTCACGTTTGTATTATATAAATAATAATGTCAATATAAGTGACTACCTATGTTTTTCACGTTTGTATTATATAGATAATAATGTCAATATTAGTGCCTATTATAATATATCTACTGAAAGAATAGAAGTGCTCAGAAATTAACACTGGTCTTACATCACTGTTACATCACTTATACATATCAGATACTGTAGGTGTCAGTCGTATGCACATCACACTCTTATTCTTTTCTTCGGTAGAATAAATGCTGTAATATTTTTTGTTAGCTGCCATATTCTTTCTGTCTTTTGATGATTAGTTAACTAGATAAGTTAGGCAACATATTTTTGAATTGTTCTAAGGTTTCTATATGTATTGTTGGTACAGTGCATTTATTTTTATTACATAACACAATTTCTAGTTTTATTTACTAATGTAATATGATCCCTAAAAAATTGATCAATTTGTAAAGTTGTTGAAAGTTTTAATATAGTAAAGCCTTAATATTTCTAAGAAAAACATAAATATTCATTAATATAATGTTTACAGGGAGCTGCAGAACTTTCTGTAGGGGCTAATCTACTTTCAAGATCGGCTGATGAATATGGAAATGATGCAAGTATTAATATTATTTGATTTGAGTGAACTTTTTTAATATTATTTTTGCAGGGAAAAGTTGAAATGATGTGGGCCATAAAAGCATATGAACATGCAGAAATATATTTTAATGTAAGTACACTAAAATTCAATTTTTACTTGAACTTAACTAGAAACAGTAAAAACTAATATGTTAAGTGCGCTACGATTCAACATTTATTTAAACATCAATTATATAAGAGTATATTATGCTTATTTTATTAATTACTAACCATCAAATGAATGAAATACAATTGATGATAAATGTACAATTTATATTTTTTTGTTATAAAAATAATTTAAGTATATTTGTAAAATTAATAATTTATTATCTATTATTTCTTTGATTTTAGTTGATATGTTCTGTTGATCCAAAGTTATTAAGATTGACTCCTCACGATGATAAGATTTACAAAGAATTTAGACGATTATTTCCTGATCTTCAAATAGAAGTTCTTGATGAAGAGGATGTAAAAAATGATTCATCTAAAATTGTAAGTATTAAAAATTGCACAATGTAGTAATAAATATTGTAATAATCTATACTCGATCTCAAAAGAAAATCAGTCGGCCAACCGATTTACGTCAGTGCTGCGCATCTCCCACCAACTTCATCGTGGGTTTCTCAACTCGCCAATCGCATCATTCATGATGAATAAAAAGTGATTGTTCTCTTTTGAGTCTGAGTATATATTAGAAAAAAATGAAATGATGTTTGTTGGTAATTGCCTTACTAAAAAATGGCTAAAAAGACACGTTTGGCTCATTTTTTTTTCCATATTTCTTTTACACTCATATAATAACTTTGACATTTACAATGTAAATTCAAATTTTGTTTTATTTATAAAATATGGTTGCCATAGGTTACTCGGACAGATAAGGTAAAAGCATGCATCAAATTTTTGTGTTAATGGTCTCGAATATAGAAATTATATCTTAAAAAAAATACGAAAGTCGACTATGTGTATATAACTTACATACTCAAAATATACATTTTGTGAAAATTTCAAAAAAGTTTAGAGTAGTTTGATTTATTGCAAGTACTATTCCAACCCACCATAGGTGTATTATCCATCATATTTGAATTGGTTCACTAAGCGAAATAAACTGACACTAATTTTAGTGTGATCTGAGATACACCATAACCAAGATACATTTAATCTATGAGTAAACTTATATAGCTCTAAATTGTATGTCCTTTTTAAATGCAAAAAATGGATGTTGGTTTTTCCAAATTAATAAACTCAACAACTACTGAACTGTTTCAATAAGTTGTACCAATAGATTTCTTGTGACTTGGAGGTTGTTTATAGCTTTTTTTTCAGCTCATGACAATAGAATATTTTTATTTATCTAAATGGTTTCCATTAGTTTCCATACTTAAGTACTATTACTACTATAATTAGTAGAAATATGCCATATACCTATATACTTACATTTTACAAATAAAAAAAAAATCTTTTGCGATACTTCAAAAAATGAATGATAATTTAATTCTAAAATACCTAAAATTACAAAATATATAATAGTAACAATATTCTAAAAATTAAAATCAAGTTGCCCATTATTAAATCAAATTCAAAAATTTAAATATGCATGTTATTATTAATTGTAATCAAAATAATTAGGTAGTTGGATACATTTTTTTTTTTGGCTAATACATATCATGAATTTTTAGCGCATGTTAATGTGCATATTTTTGTTGTATAAATGCATACTTTGGTTAAATAAATACATATAAATTTGAGCCATATTTATAAGTGATCATATTAACTTTTAAGATGAAATATCTCGACATGGTGAGAATTGAAGAGATTATATTGACAATTTTATATAGATAGTTGAAATACAAATAGAAATAACAAAAATTTCTTATAAGTAATTATTAGGGCTAGGAGTAGATGCATTTTGCATTATTTTTTTTAGAACTTTTTAGATGTAATATAATATAAATGTGTGTGTTACAGTGTTTGTATTTTCCATTATTTTATTATTATACCTACCAGAATAATTTAGAACTAATTTTTTTTTTTTAGAAATGGAGAAGATTTTGCGATCTCTATAAGAATATGGAAAACTACAATTTCGGTACATTAATCAGAAAGGATGTTCATGGAGACTACAACGAAAGCAACAGCTTTATAGTTATAAGAATACAGTTTTATGCTATTGAACTAGCAAGAAATAGAGAAGGATTAAACGATATTCATTTTATAAATAATATTTATGATAAGGATGACTTTGAACCATAAAAATATTATATGTATAATTTATGCATGTACATTTCTAATTTGATTAAACGGTTTATGTATGTAACATAATTTTGGCGATAAAATAAATTTAAATGTTTTTACTTGATCCCAATTGATGTGCAAGTTATTTAATTTTTTTTTACTTTTAAAACATATTCAGTTATATTGATTCTTAAATTTATAAGAACATCTTAAATAGTTACATGACTAGAAAAATTAAACCTACTTTGTGTGATGGGTAACACTAACCCACACTCTACAGTTGACCTAACCATTAAGACTTATGATAAGTTAATAATGTTTCCAGGAATTCCATGCTATGGTTTTTTAGAGCAAAATACACCTATATGCGTTCTAACGTACAGACTTAAGTTTTATATTTTTTTTATAATTTCGACTCATAATATTCAAAATAGACTACATAATAAAAATTCTAATATGTTTTCAAAATTATTATTGGAGTAAAACTCGGTATGTTGGAATGCATATAGGTATTATTTGCTCAAAAAATAAATTGTATGCAACACTATACTCTATTCCATCTAAGAGTGAACCACTCGGCTGACCAAAACTCGTTTTGTGCATGCATTCCCACCACAAGACGGGCGCTGCCGCAAACGTTGGTGAGGGCCGTCACTCTGTTTGCACGGCGGTCGACAAATAACGACGACCAGCGATGACTGTCGACCAATGACAGAACGCCTAGCCGTCACCAGGGGGGTCAGAAAATGATCGGCGGCTCAGACTGCGTGCGCGAAAGCGGTTCATTCTTAGGTGGAATAGAGTATAGAAATGATGTTGCTTGCTGTATCAGCGGTGATGGATTTTTGCTCAACCCATTTACACATTAATTTACATTATTTTCAAAGTAAACAATAATGGATATGTCATACCATACTAATATATACACCTGCCCAAAATCCGATTAAAATTAATAATTAAGTATAAAATAGTCATTGATCCGGTAAACAGGACATCTGTTATCAAACATTTTAAGTGATTCCAATCCCTTGTTTTTCGACTAAAGAAATTAGAAATATCAAATGCAATTTGGTGGTCTTCTTAGATATTATCATGTTAATAGTAAAATAATTTATTTTGTATAAAATTTTTTAAATTTCAAAAGATTATATACATTCATATTTATTTATTTATTGCATCATTTTTTATTAGTGCATTCAGGATATTTTAAATTATAATAAGTACATTTTGATATTTAAGTAAATAAAGAATGTTAAACTTTAAACAACACAATATTAATAATGTTTGAGCTAAACATAAAAGGAATTAAATTTATATATATACACATAAAAAACAATTAATATAAAATGAATTGATGTAATAACTATTTATTAAACACTGCAGTTTTATACCAATATATACTACATTTAAACATACAATTCATATGCTAATACTTATATAACACCTGTAAATAAATAAAATAATATTAATATCAATAATATAACTGTTCAGATCAATAACTATGCATAAAAAATTAATAAACTTAGGAAGCATCATATTGCATGACAAAACAATAACAAATTTAAAGTGTAGATATTTCAATTCTTAAATAACTGGAATGTTTGTTTAAGTTATTTTTTTTTTTAGATCATAGAAAATGAAACATTTAAACAAAAGTTTATACATTTCCTTTGGTGATAGCAACATAATACACATATGTAATAAAGGCATTAATATAATCTTCAATAAAAAATGGAATAATGATAAATTAGGATCATCTAAAATAAATTACGCAATTATAAATTTTTGTTTTGTTACGAGCAATGTCTTCATTTCCTGGGCTATTATAGTACTGCCCAATCTTATAGGAAATGTAAGAAAAATTAGGCATTGCTCAGAATATATAGAATTATAACTACTATGGTTATTTTTGATTTATTTAATACTTAGTTTTAGTTAACTATGTAATATTTACATTTTTATATGTATATATATACCATTTTAATTTAATTTGAACATAATATTGTTCATAAACGCACAGCATAAGTAGTAGTATTACACATATTTTATGTATGATTGTAATTGTAATAAATAATATTTTGGTGGTAGCAATGCTCAGCAGTCCTCGTCAAGGCTGTGATACTACAAAAAATGAATGATAACTTAATTCAAAAATACCTAAAATTACAAAATATATAATAGTAACAATATTCTAAAAATTAAAATCAAGTTGCCCATTATTAAATCAAATTCAAAAATTTAAATATGCATGTTATTATTAATTGTAATCAAAATAATTAGGTAGTTGGATACATTTTTTTTTTTTTGCTAATACATATCATGAATTTTTAGCGCATGTTAATGTGCATATTTTTGTTGTATAAATGCATACTTTGGTTAAATAAATACATATAAATTTGAGCCATATTTATAAGTGATCATATTAACTTTTAAGATGAAATATCTCGAACTTTTTAGATGATGCTCTCCTATTTTGTACTTTTTATGTCTTATTTAGATTTTATTAGGGCAATTTTTAATGTTTTTAAGTTCATCGACTTCTGAGCCCTAGTATTGCACACTATTCAATATAAGGAGCGACCTGGTTGGCAACTGGCTTTATCAGTGATGTGCAGGCCACAAGCAACTGTTTTCCTTACAATCAACCATTAACAATCAATGCACAAAACAATGTCATATGCACAAGTGAGCCTCCCAAGTTATTTCTTGTGTTTAATAGAGTATAATTCTATTTTATTACTTAATAAAAGAATGCTAGCTATATAAATCAGTGAGTACTACATTGACAAAAACATTGTATCTCTTTAAAGTTGGTAATTTAATTGAATGGCCATTTTTATTTTTTTTTTTGTAGTTAAAATTTGCATGCCCTATTTACTAAAGACAAAGTATATATTGACTGAGAAATGCATTACTCTGCCCTGGAAAAATAATGTTTTAATGAGTTGCCCATAACAAACGCATGTAAATGTTTGTTGTTGAATCTTTAATAATTTATTACAATTGGTGGTAACTACATTAAAATATATAAACCTACTTAAAAACTCTTTAAAACTTAATTTAAATTCAAATAAAACATAAGTAACTAAAATTGACTAGGTAAAGGTTATCACACACATTTTATATTGATACAATAGTAAGTATCCAATGATAAGAAGTAGAAGAAATTTGATTTCAACAAAAGGATGGCAGTATAGAGATCAATAGAAAAAAAATTAAAGTATATATTGTATTAAGTATCCACTTAGTAGCTGAATGACCAAGATCCCATTTGTCCAATACAATGACCTATAAAAAAAACAAGTGTTTATATGTTATTATTTTGAATGTAATATAATTAAATATAATATTATGTAAGTAAATATTACTATGTATTGGTAAGTTTAGTTATAATTATTTCTAATTTTAAAAGTTAAATTTATTAGTTAAGGTATACAAACAAATTAATTATTTAGTCACGGTATATTAAAAAAAAACCCAATAGGTTATGAGAACAAGACAAAACGCTAAAAGTATGGTTTCCAAGCTACAAGTTGAAGCAACAAGCTGCAATAACTGCTCTGGTATGAAACAGCCTTATAATCGTACAATTTTTGAGATCGTACTGGTCTGAGAGCAGTATATGTTGAAGCAGGAAGTTGCAGCTTGGAAACCGCACCATTAAGAAAAGATAGTCAAATTATCAAAGTGTATGGGCCCCTACATGAATACTGTTCAGTGGGGCCCATTATTAAGATAAAATAAAAATAATGACAATGGTAGTTATCGATCATCACTACTGCCTTTACAATCATCTTACAGTAAGCTTAATTATGTTAATGAAATTACCATAGATCAGCATAGGCCCTATGTCATAGAAAAATTCAGACATGTACCTACTTTAAATGGTGGAGAGGGGGGACTAGAAAATCCATTGATACTATTTAAAAAAATAAAAAATATTATTTGTGTAAATGTATACTTACATTCATATTTGTATTAAGTATGATTTTTTTGTTTAAAAATTAAAATAGGTAATGATATTATATTATTATATCATATTATATAATGTTAATTTCGTTAATTTCACCTAACCTAACCTAACCTAACCTAAAATATAATACATTTTTATTAAATATAGTATGGATTAGTTGATACTAATTTCTCTATTTAATGAAATTACAAAGATTAAGTTCTTAAAATGATTTTAATTTGTTAGTGAAAGAGTGGAATAAAATTCAACTCGCTTAAAAATTTATGAATACTCCATTTTATTGCAATACAGTTGATAATTACTTATGATGTATCTAATTAAAGTTAAATCAAAACTAATTAAATAAATCAACATTAGTAATTAAGCTTGATTCAAACTCGTTAGAAACTTACTTTAGTTCATCGCCGTAGATTAAATTTATAAATAGTCTACAAACCATGCATAATTGTGTGTGATCAATATTAACTATAGTATAAACAACTTTCTAAATGATGAATACATGCAAACAAACTATAAAAAGATAATCTGTTTAATATGAATGATTATTATAAACCAACATACCATCTTCATCAAATGTAGCCAATGTCAACTTATTTAGTTTATTACACAATCGAGATTGTGGTTCACTGCGGAACAAATGTGCCAAAGGTATTTGAGATCCTATACATAACATATTAAATTAAAATATTTGATATTCAAATAATTAAGTTAATTACCATCTCCAACAGAAATGTGTTCAAAGCCGCCAGTTCTATCTACATCGTCATATTCGTTCATAGCTAATTTGTGTCTAAAATCTTCAACAAAACACGCAATTAGTGCATCTATCATGACAGCCTAAAAAACAGAATATTTTAAAAATCAACTTAATGGTCTGAATATTATGAAACAGCAGTTAAACATTAATAACTATATTTACTTGTTTAGAAAACACTTGTAAAATTTTTGAAACTCTTGTTCCATTTTCTAATACTAAAAACTGTAAAAATATACAAGGTAAACAATGATCATTATCTTCTTGAGATGGCTTAGCAAATTCCCAAGAAAAATCTTGATACTTAAGGCCCAACAATAAACTCTGAAATAATTAAATTATGAAATTAGAAAGTCTACAAACTATTACAGACATTTGAAAAAAATTACATTTTCCACAGTGTCCAAGATATAAACTCCTTCAGTGTTGACTGCGATGTAAATAGGAACATCTTTATGGTTAATTAAAGACATCAAACCTCGAACAGGTTGTTCAATTTGACCATGGAAAAAAGCACACCTATGAACATTTTTAATTAATTATTATAAGTTTTATAACATTTAACTAAAACTTTATTTGATAAGTAATGAACATATAAACATGCAGACTCTGTGGAAATTCTAGTAGTAAAGTAGTTAAAATCAGAATAAGTTTAGAGCATGATTGGGACATTAGCATTAGGATTTTTAATGGCTATAAATTGATTAGGATTTTACTATGTTTGCTCAGATATAAAAAAAAAGTTCCAAGACCTGGACTCTTAAGTGGACGCCACACCTCCATGTATTATCTCCGTCTTACAAACACGTAACATAACAAATTTACATTCAGCAGTTCACCTTTTTTTCCGTCAGCGTAAAAATTAGAGTGAATCGACCCATTATGAAACTTGGTGGTAAGAATTTTATCTGTGTTTTGTTGGAAGTTTTTTTACATTCAGTTTTTAAGTGAGGTATGAGCATTTTTAATTTACATTTATTATACAAACATACCTCACTTAAAAACTGAATTATCGCAAAGAAACTTCCAACAAAACACAGATTAAGTTCTTACCATCAAGTTTCATAATAAATTGATTCACTCTAATTTTTAAGCTAATGACATTAAACGTAAACGGCTCGGCGTAAATTTAGTATGTTGCTTGTTTGTATGACGCAGACAACACATGCAGGTGTGGCATGATCTTAATGATCAATATTCAATGGATAGCTGAGAGGATTAGACTGACACTAGTTAAGAGTATGTTGTACCTGAGGTTGTCCATATGTGATATCTCATTATTTTCATAACAAAGTACATTTTATATTCAAAATAATCCATTTTACTGTTATTTATAATCTTAATGTGAACTAACCTGTTTTCAAAAGTAAATGTAAGAACACAGGCCATAGGCTCCCCTATAAGGTTTTTATAATGTTTTAATTTTAAAGTAGGTTATGATTAATGTCTGGAATTATATGTTTTTACAAAACGTTACTGAGCTTATGCAGTCTTACAAGGGTAAAAAGTATGGATAATTCATTCAACACAGTCTTTTTTTGCATGTTTATGAATAATTCATGGGTTAAGGAATAATTAGATTGTTTAGTAGAATATTTTAGAATATTTTGTAAATTATGAGAAAAAAATTATAGTTTATTTTATTTTTAAAGTTATTATTATTAGTTTTAATATTATAATACCTGAAAAATGTTTTACTAACCATAATATTTTTTCTTTTCATAATTTATATAATGCTGCTGAGCTGTTATGTATTAATTTACGTAACAGATATTGTTAACAACAATTTATTGTTTATCAAAAGTCCAAATAGATTTTGTTTTGCAATTGTGTTTTTAAATTTTTTAAATAAAAAATTCTTTCATTTTAACTAGGTACTTTTTAAAACAATGGATGAAACTGTTCAACACAAAAGAAGCTATTTTACTCAATAGTACAATTATTATGCAGGTGAATACCTAACTGTCGTAAAAAAAATATATGTGTACACAATTATATATTAATAATATAATGTGGTTTATTGATTATTATTACATATTTTTCTAATTTTTAAGAGAATATCAAGAGAATGTTTGTAGAATTTTTAGAGACTACAGTCAACTCGCGATATAACGAATTTCCAGGGACCGAGAAAAAAATTCGTTATATCGAAAGTTCGTTACATCGAAATTCGTTATATCAAGAGAATATATCAATTGAATTCGTTATAACGAGATTTAAAGAGATTGTACATATTTATCTAATAATTTTACTATTCGTATACATATGTATAAAATAAATGACTCATAAAAGTATGTATTTATTCGACATAAGTCTTATCTTAATTTGGATACTGTACTTGAGTGTCCTATCTCATGATAATCATCAGAAAAACTTCGTAATCTATTATGTGCTAATAGCAACATACTTATTTTTATATATTTTTCATAGAGTTATACACTAGAGACATGTGTATAATCTTAATTAAAAATTCGTAATAGAAGGCTCCAAATTTATAAAAATTCGTTACATCTCGAGAGTTTTGATCAAAAACGCTTCGCCACATCGAGGGGACCAAAATACATTACATTTGTTCGTTAAACCGCGATATTTTCAAGGGACCGGTAGTTTTATTCGTTATATTGAGATTTTCGTTATATCGAATTTCGTTAAATCGCGAGTTGACTGTATTAGCATCATGTTTTAGGTGTCTTAATAGAATATAAATCTGGACTTTAGTTCAATAATTTTAAAACTGAAAATTGATTGTACATTTTAAAGTACTTATAACTATTGCTTTAAAATTAAAATGGTATAAAAAACCTATTTCAATCCTCAGATCAGCGGTTTACAACCCATGGGCGGTGGCCTACTTGTGGACCTCGAGCAGCGTGCTACTGGGCCATAAATAAATATATAATGTTTAATATTATACATTATATATTTAAAATAATATTATTATATATTTTTAGTATATACCTAATAATATTTCTGGTTATAATAATATTTATCAATATTATCTACTCACTGTAGTGTCCAATTAGTATATAACTAACACTAAATAGAAGAACAAACTGAATGTTGTAAGTGATTTAATTCTAAGACCAAGACGGTTTTCATACCGATATTGACTCTCTCATGAAGGACAAGTAATGTCAAAAATCACACTAAATTGTTTAACTTGTGATTAAGTTTAATCAAGTGTTTTTTATGATAAACAATTGATTTTTTAATTCTTTTTAGTTCTAACAACTGACATTTGTACATACATAAATATTTAAGCATTTGTATGTAAGTGGGCTATTTTTGGGTGTCAAAGATTTTTTTTACAAAATTGGTGATCCGCAAAGGTTAAAATGTTGGGAACCACTGCCTTAAATAATTGTCTTAATTGTAAATTTGATAAAAAATTAACTCAATCAATATGATGCATTAAATAACAATGAAGAAGACTATTTTGAATTACCACTAATTTCATTTCAGAGAACAACGCATTATTGTGTATGAGGCACAGGATAAGAACATTATCTGTGTTATCTCATGTATTGTAGTGATTTTGTAAAAGTAAACTTGTATCATTCTTACCCATAAAACGGTAGCATGTAACAGCACTCCAAATATTTGTGGTAAAGTCTACGATCAGATCCAGTTATCTGTATATGTTTTAAATGGTCTGCAAGCCGAGAATGAGGTGTACTTTTTCTATCAAGATTTAACCATGAAGACCAACTTTTGTATAGATGGGATGGTAAAAATTTTTCCCGGTTATCTCTATAAAGTTATTGCAATAACTAGTTAATATAAAAACGATGTTCTTATAGTTTGCAGATAGCAATATTGACTTAGAATCTTAAAAAAAATTAATTGTCTAAGGCACCTAAAAAAACTTGAGGTGTACTGTTGTAAATTGTTTGGACCTAATTCTATTCGGCACTGCAAACTAGCTAACATCAAACAGTGGTTTACTTCAACAGGATACCGACCTTGTAATACATTATATTTAGCTTCAGCGTACAGTAGCTCAATAATTTTTTGATCCCTTCAACAAATGTAATTTAAATAAATATTTGTTTATTTGTAAGCATATGCAAAATACACTCACTTAATTTTTTCTTCATCTTTTCTAGGAAAAAAAACATTTCTTTGAAAACTCAAAATGGGTTCCTTGAAAATAACTTTTTTGTCTTGAATGCAATATTTTTCTTCAAGTGTGTGCCATTTTTGAAAAACTGTCAATAATTTGTGATGTGGTTTTAACTGAATTTCTGAAAAAAAAGAAAATATTAGTTACCTAATACTAACATTGTTAGTAAATTATATTTTATTCTAGGTACTTGATAATTACCTAAAACGTTTGATTTCATCCAAATTGTAAAAATATTCTTAGCAATTCTTGATAATCCCAAATTGTTTTGCTGTATTATAATATCAACAAGATCTGAAACTGTAGTTGTGTTTGCATCTTCTATATCCATATGTAAGACTATATCAGCCATTGTGTAAATATACACACTAAGTGCTATAAACAATTAACATCAATCAACCTTTAGACATTTATATTTTATATAAGTTAAAATTTATTTCAAAGGTGTTGAAAAACTAATTAATAAGTTTATATAAATAATTTCACACTTTTTTTAAATTGATCATATTAACTATAATTCAAACAATATGTTAGACAACGATTATAAAATACAACATAATATTTATACCATAGACCTATAGGATCATAGGATTATAAAAAGTGCAAACTACACTTAAACTTTCATAAGCTACTGAGACATTATCATTAATCAGTAATTGACCATAATATAACTATTTAATTTAATTTATTATAATAATACTCACGTTTCTTTACAGGCTTTGGAGCGGTTTGAAATGCTAGTGGAGCACTTATTATTGGCTTGGAACACGACTGTATTGGATCATTACGAGAATGATTATGAGATCTTTTGTGTTCCAATGATCGTTTCAGTTCTTTCCTTCGCATAGTACTTGATTCGGTCCTTACTGCTCTAGTATGGGGCCAATTCCGGTTTTGAGGAAAGTCACTAACATAAATAAAAATCTAAATTACTGAAGGATACTCTAGAAATCACTGAATACACTGAGAGTATATTAATATTACCTATATTCATCGGGAGGTCGTATGAACTGTTGCCTGTTTCGAGGATACTCAACAGGAACAATCGTAATGTATTTATCTGTATCCATTTTTGGTTCGTTTTAGCTTATTTCTCAATGAATTACGAATTCACGGACAACGCGCTCGTAATATTTTATTCAATTGCAATCTATCTACAAAAACGCAACAAGTAACAAAAGTAAGCACGACACGGACAGGAAAACGAATTATTATTTTGGCGAAATTAGGCGATGCACACAGTCATAATAATATTGTATTATTGACTGTCGAAATCACGATAAAAAAGGAAACGCAAATAAAATGCTAAAGCAAAGTAATCAAGGTGATAACGTTATCATGGGTGTGTGTATCATAGATAGTAGGTATATATGAATTTATGTTATGTACCTCATTGTTATGTATTACCACAGATATTATAATATTATATAATAATATAATTATAGTATGTATATATGTATTATTTATAGTGTGTAGGCCATAAAGTAATCTACTTTGCTCCCTATTTCCTGTTCATTTTGAAAAGTTTCTATAGGTACTAGGGATTAATTTAAATAATTATAATGTCAATTGGTACTTTTTGGTTGTTTTTAATAAAAAAAAAATACAATTCGATGTTATTACTTATTTTTAGAAGTTGGTACCTAAGTTGGTTAACAATTTGTTTCCTATAGCTATAAGTACCAATATATATTATATCTAAATGATTATTAGGGCGTTTTAGCAGAAAATAATCTACAGATAAATGTCATGAACTAACCATTAGGTACCCTAGGTAGAATACTTATTTTATCCTAATTATTTTTTTAAATTTAGTAACATTATTTGTTATACTTTCCTCCATATAGGCACCAATTTGAATAAAATGTATTTTTTAAAACAAATAGGTAGGTAGGTAGGTAAGTAGGTACCTATAAATATTATTAATATTTAATAGATTAATTTTTTTGTAGTTATACTATTATAATTAATTATACATTTGCCAGTTATTTCTGTTAGGTATAGGCACATCAACTAACTATGCGTGTAATTATCTAAGGAGGTACACTATGGTACCTACTCGCTACTATGTGCATTTATTATATGTGTACTGCAACGACATAATAGGTATCCTACCTACATGCTCTTATTTCTTTGTTTCAGCTTTCACTACCAAATCGGTAACCATGGTTATTATTTAATAACAATTTATTTAGAATAAGTAGATACATAAAAACATATTTGACACTACAAATACTATTGACATAGGTACTTACAAATATTTTATTTTTACCTTACACAAATTCTAATAATTACCTACTCAGCATAACTCGATAATAAAACAAAATTATGGAATCCTTAATTCATACAATCAACAAGTTGCAAGAAGTGTTTGCAGTTATTGGTGATCACAAAATTAATTTTCCCCAGATCGTTGTTGTCGGATCTCAAAGTTCTGGAAAAAGCTCGGTACTCGAGAGTTTGGTGGGTAAATCTTTCTTACCTCGAGGTACTGGTATTGTAACTCGTGCTCCACTGATTCTCCAAATAGTAAGATATAATAAAGAAGATAGAGAATCTATGTTGGAAATAACAAAAAATGAGAAAATTAAAGAATGGGCATGGTTTTTACACAAACCTAACACTGTGTTTCATAATTTTGATGAAGTGCGTTCTGAAATTGAAAATAGAACAAATTATCTAGCTGGTCACAATAACGGCATAACGCACGAGCCAATTGTTTTAAAAGTATTTACTGTTTTATATGATCTAACTTTTGTAGATTTACCGGGAATCACGAAACTCCCTGTTGGTGATCAGCCCGAAGACATTGATGAACGAATTCAAGAATTAATATTAACTTATGTAAAACAACCAAATTCTATTATTTTGGCCGTGGTTACTGCTAATACGGATCCCTCTACTAGCGAGAGTCTGAAGATTGCTAGGAAAATTGATCCAGATGGGACAAGGACAGTCGCTGTAGTAACCAAGCTAGATCTTATCGACAAGGGTACAATCCAAGACACAGTAGAACTACTTTGTGGTTACAAAATCCCTGTTAAGCTTGGCATAATTGGAGTCGTAAACCGAAGTCAAAAAGATATTTTTGACAATAAATCCATGAAAGAAACTTTGAAATCCGAGAAGGAATTTTTAAAAGCCAACTACCCCGAAATCCACAAAAAACATGGGAATCAAATGTTAGCTAATACTCTGCAGAATATACTATTAATGCATATCAAAAAAACATATCCAGTGTTGCGCAAGGAATTATATGATACCAAAGATCGATTAGAAAACCAACTAAAAACATTGAAAACGCCGGACCAGAAGGTTTCATTCGTCTTAGGTTTATTGAATGAAATGTGTAAATCATACTGCGATACAGTCGCTGGAAATAGAAAAGATTTATCCGAAAGCACACTTGTTGGGGGTGCAAAAATTTCACAAATCATACATAATGAATATGTAGAAAAATTAGATAAAATTGATCCACTTCTTGACTTAACCGATGAAAAGATCGGTAACATTTTGTTAAATTCAGCTGGGACCAACAAAAGTTCATTTGTTAACGAGAAAGCATTAGAAATTATGGTGGGCAAACAATTACAAAATCTTATTGAACCAGCAATGGTTTGTATTGACCTAGTCAGTGCTGAAATGTTGAGGATTTTTGAATCTATCGATCAAAGTATTTTGGATACGCTCAAACGATTTCCAAAATTGATTTCTGATGTAAGTAAAATTTTGCAATATGCCGTATTATTGCATAAATATTAAATACCTTAAGTTAGTGTATACACAAACATATTTTAAAAATTACATGATTTTTACCTATGAAATTATCATTAAAGTAGTAGTGGAATGTTTCAAGTTTCTTCACATAATATTTTTTGAAATACAAATAAATTATTAAAACTTTTTTTTCGTTTAAGTATTATATAATTACCTAAAATAAAGTCAATATTTTAACATCAAAAATTAACTTGTGCTTACTTAAACTTGTTGTCTCCGTCCTATAAACGCGTAACATATAGCAAATTTACTTACATCAGATCATGTTTAATTCAGTTGATTTAAAATTCTATAGTGAATGGACCTATTATAAAATTTAATGGTAAAAACATAATCTGTGTTTCTATGTTTGTACTTATCATTGGATTTTTAAGATACAAATATTTTTAAGTGAGTTATGAGTATTTTTATTGTACGCTACATTATATATAATATTATTATACGCATAGGTGACTTGCAAAAAATTTAATTAGGTATCATAAAAAGCCAATATAGGAACACAGATATTGTTTTTAACATCAAGTTTCATAATAGTTTGATTCACTCTTTTAAACTAAAGAAATAGACGTGATCTGCTAAGTGTAAATTTTCTACGTTAAGCACTTGCAACCCGGAGTCAAAACATACGGGTGTGGCGTCTTAAGAAAAAGTGAATGAGGAAACTTTCAGTAGACTTCAAGCTTTTTTACTAAAAACAAAAATTTTTATACACACAGAAATAAAAAAATTAACAAAAAAGGAAAAAAGTTAAATGTCAATAAGTAGGGAGCTCTGAAAAAGAAAAATATTTGGAAAATTATTTTATGTCTAAAAAAATATGCAATTATAAATAGTTCGCATAAATGTCAAGTATTTACCAATCTAAAACTTTTCATTACAGCAGATAACATCAAAATAATTTTTATTGAAAACTGAAATATTTCCGTTTTTCGTGGATTTTTAAAAACATTTTTTTTACTGTTTTTACAAATAATTGGAATTCTACTTTTGATTCCCTAAAGTATGGTATACATTCTAGATACAACTTGTGTTTAAATTATCTAGCAAAGTTTTTAAGTTAGATTTCTTTGGTAGTTATTTTACGTTTATTCTGTTAGTTCATTACTTTCCTATTTTCCTTAATTCTAGTCCTGGTATCAAAGGTAAAAAGTGATGTTCATGTTTCATATTTTTTTTAAATTTAAATCACTCGATTTCGTTGGTGATCAACCTTGTCAGTTGTCTCGGAGTTGAATTAATCTGAAAAAGCGATCTAATCAGGGCATATTTGACTTAGTTTTATGGATGGGTTGACAATATAAATATTAGTAGGTTGGTACCTATATATTAACCAACTCATGAATTTGATCATATTCATAAAGAGGGGGCATTCATCACAACCACCGACACCTCAAATACTCCACATATATATCTAATTCTCACTTGTCCCCATTTTTGTTGTATTATTTAGTTACATAATTTATGCCTGAGTATTATCATTGCAGACATTATTTCAACTTTGAATGTGTAGGTACTACAAACTAGATACAATTATTTTGTAGTTTGTGGGTAGTATGTAACATAATATATACCTACCTGCTGGCTGCTTATATAAAAATACTGAATAATAACAATAATTTAATTTTAGGTAAAAATGGTGCTGAATCAAATGATAGATTACACATTATTAAGCATTAAAGAATTTATAAGATCATATATTGAAACCTATCAGGCATGCTTGAATACAACAAACCCAGATTTCATCTTAGAACTAGTAAAATCGTCTGATGTGATTCAGGATGCATTTATATCAGCTCATGTCACAAACAAAAAAGGTTTGACAAATGATGAATTTACAAAGGCTGAAGAAGAAAGAACAAAACAATTATTTAAACAAATACTATCAGGTCTTAACGATCTTGATAAAACAATGGAATCTTCTAAACAAGTCAAAATGCATAAAAATTTAACGCGTTGTTACTTTGAATTTGTCAGGAAAAATGTGAGAGATTTTGTGCCAAAACGTATAATATTTAAGATGGTGAATCATGTTTTGAATAATATTGAAAATTGTATGCACAAATTAGTGTTTACTCCATATGTAGTTAATCGATCTATTGACCAAGTACTGGTTGAAGAGGAACATATAGTTGATGATAGACAGAGAGTTGAGCGGCTGCTGGTTGCTGTAAATAAAGCATTGAAAAATATGGCAGATATCCAAGTATATTAAAATGTGGATTTATAACTGTAATATAAAAATCTAAAATTATATATAATGAATAAATTGTACAAATAATACATTTTAAATCCTCACAAACCTAGTTGTTGTTGTATTATATCGGTACCTAATTTAGAGGGTGATTTCAATTTTTTTTTGGTAACAACGCATATTGTATTGAGCAGGTCACTTTATTGTTTTTCAAAATATTTTAGATTATTAATTGTGTATTTGTGTATTTGTACGAAACTGTTAAACGACATAATACTTTGATCCAAATTCCGCAAGTTACCCTGGACGAGGAGAGTGAGATGTTTCAATAGAATAAAAAGCAATCCATGCATTCACGGCTTAATTTATTTATTTATTATAATTTATAGCACTTAATTATTACAACAAGCCTTAATAAATGTCTTAAATTCGTCTGTTTTTAGAAGGCCGACAGTTATAATATGGGTACATAGGTATACCTATACTCAAATCTATATATACCTACCCTGCGAAAAATGACACTCCTGATCTAATAACTCATATTGTAATTTGTATTATCTATCAAATAAGTTATTATGATCTTATAAAATAGGAACTGAATAAATATTAAATCTTGATATTTTAAGTTGTAATATAGATAAATTAAAAAAAAAGTAAAAAGTAGTTGTAATTATAGTTGATAACAGCGGTAAGGTCTACAACTATGAAATTGCGTGCAAGCTACCTACATCATTAAATCATTACTAGGGCAGATTACCTGTAGCTCTAAAAATCACCAAATATGCACTAAAATGAACAAAATATGCATTCATAAATGTATAATAGTAATAATATCTTATGCAGTGAACAATATAATCTGTACATAAATAAAATTAATAACCGAAAAATAAGTCTAATCGGCAATAATCGAGAAGTGTCTCTAGGAAAAACATAGTTGGGAAATTTAATTCAATTTAATAACCATATTAATATGATCAAAATTTAAAATAATTTTTAATTCAACATTATTTTAGTTAAATTAAATAAAAATTTTAAAAATGACAAATTATTGAAAATATGCATCTTAAAGTATAGAATTGAAGAAATAGGCACTAAAACCAAAAAAAATCTCGAAATTAGCATATATATGCAAAATAAAATTTCAAAACTAGCTTTGTTTCAGCATGTATAGTTGATTGGTTTTGTTGTAATTCAAAAGTATCATTCATGGGTACTTGAAACTTTTAGTGGATTATTATATTTTATACACACAATTATATTTACAAAATAAATGCAATTTTTCGGCAAAAATCAATTTAATATTATAGTAGGTATACTAATGTTTAATAGTATAATAAATCACTTTAATAGCGATTATATAAATTATATTTAGTAATATTGGATGACAATTGACAAACAGTCTTCGCTCAGAATCTTTTTTGTGTACCTACGAAGATTTTATATCATTATTGAATTCAAATTTAAGTATTTAACATATCCATTACAATTTACAGTGACTCCTCTAGACGACTAGATAAGTGGCGCCCAGATAGGTTAGCAAGGGGTGCAACTGCATGTGCTCTCGTGGGGGGTCGGTTGGGTGGGTAGGTAGGTATAGACGCCTATGGTTATAGGTACCTAGATAAAGTATAGGTGAACAATTAGTAACAGTTCAAAAGAACGTTTTTTTAAATAAAAAATGGGTGGGTGGGTGGGTCACTTTTGTTAGTTGCATGTGCTCTCAAAATACCTCTATGCGCCACTGGACTAGACACCTACTGGACAGCAGAGAGTAAAACCCACTTATCCAAATTTTTATTTTTATGGTTTAAAACTTTAAAAGTATCTATACTTTATTGGGAATTGTGGTGTTGTTTTGAATTACCTATTGAATTAATAATAGAATGTCAATATTGTGCTCTAAATTAGTATCCTATTCGGTCTCAAATTATTCTAGTGATAACTATGTCCACACCCGTATTTATTCACTTAATATATTAAAATGACATATACTTTAAATTGATTCTTACATTTTTAACCTGAAAAAAATTACTTTTAATGCATACCACCCGGCACCCACGACCTGTTGAGAACAGCTGGTATACCAAAATTGTGAGGAATTCTAGCTAAGCCTCCTCTATACAAGAGATTATCTCCCTACCACCCTCAAAACTAACTCAAAGCCTTGACTAAGTCACTACGAAAGGAGGATGTACAAGTGGGGGGCTAAATCCCTCCAAGAATTATAAACAAAATTCATACTATTAGTTAGGATTGACGTATTGCGATTTGCGGAGGTTTTTTTGCCAATATAAACTAAAACTTCTAGTAACTTAGCTATCCCAAACTTAACCTAACCTAGCGATGTATTTTTATGTATAAATCGTTGCAAAATATGCTAAACATGAATTAAATCTGGGTTTAATCAAGTCTTTTCAGATCTTTCAGTCATAACATCTACTTTTTGACTCATATTACCTGTTGTAGCACTATGATTTAGTATTATTAATTTATGCTTTAATTAAAATACCATTTAAATTACAATTTCTAATTTTCTTAAGATATTATAGTGGGGTATCTAAGATTCTAAAGAGTAGTGTACAATTATTTTAAAGTCGTCATAATGGCATATTGATTAAATGATCAATATATTTCATAGGTACTTATGGCGTTTCCTTTATGTTATAAAATAGGGCTAGAAATTTAATATCTTAAAGAAGCCCAAACAAATTTAAAATAATGCATCTATAAAATACATTTTTTTTTATTTTACACAAAAATATTTTTCGTTAAATTTTAAACATTTCTGAGGTTCTGTTAATGAACGGTCTCCTCTTCACGTTATTCATGTTTGTATATCTTTTATATTGTTATCCTTATTAGTATAAGTAATTGTTTTTATTGTAAAACAGATTGAATATATTTTAATCAAAAAAAAAAAGTTAAATTTAAAAAAAAAAAAATGTGCAAGGTTTGCACAATGATACATTTTCTTACGTCTTATAATTTTAAAAAAGAATTTTTGTCATCTCAATCATAAATTTGTATGGATCACCACTTCATAAAATTAAGATTATTCATATTTGATTTATACAACCTTGTGAGTTGTAAGCAATTTACTTAGTTAGTTAAAAAAAAAAAAACACTAGTTATTGGTGTTAATGCCATAAAATGACTTAATAATTGAAAATTGATAAAAAAATGCAAAATAAAAAACTTCTAATTCTGCTTCTAAAATACATGTAACATGTGATTATAAATGCCATAAAAAGAGCATTGCACAACTATCCTTGAAAACAATGCAAATTGCATCGACATCGACATTTCAGCAATATCTTTATTATTAACTTATAAATGTGTAACATACACTATAAAACTATACTTACAGTTATTTTGTCTAACCAGTAATTACAATAAATTATAAGTTTACCTCTATGATTTATTTAACTTAAACTTACGATCACAGAATTTTTTATTGTGTCATAGTCTTGCTTGACCGTATACTAATATAGTATACCTACTTAGTAAAAAAGACTGAGTTTGAATTTGTATTTGGGTCTTGAATCAAGGCAACACCTTTGCTATGTTAAGTGTATTTCATTATTTGACACTTAAAATAATTGACATAATATATTTTGTAATGTTCAAGTTTTAATTACTTTTAATTACTTATTTTTGTATTTTCTTCAAATATAAAATATTACAAATGTATATTATGTGCAATTTATTGATAATAATATTATATATTTAATATTTTGAGGTTTGCTTTTAACAGTAAATATGTAATTTAATAGGACACACATGAATGTAGAAATGAACAGTATTAACTATTAGGTATAAGTGTATACTGTACAACTTCTAAACTATCTGTTTGAACATATGCTAATACATAAAATAACAAATTCAGATAATGATGATAAAAGTACAAGTTCTTAGACAAAATGCAAATCAGAAAGCTAAATGTAGGTAATTAAAATGATAATCACTGGTTAACATTTTATCTTTTATTCAAGATTTAAATTACTTTTCAGATAAAAGGTAAGTTGTTTATTTACAATGTTACACTATAACATTTTAGATAGGTACTTAAATTCTTTAATGAATAACTTTTTAAAAAAAAAAAAACTAAAGCTGAGATAACCATTCTTTTTGTACCTGCTATAGATGTTGTAAGATCCCCTTTACTTTTTTTTTATCTTGTGTTTAGGAACTTAAAACATTGATTGATAGTCTTTTTTGTAGTAGACACAACTTCAACCTAGTTGAAATCAAAAGCACATTAAAAGTTATCCTAATTTAACAAGCACACAGAACTTACTCGAGTACTTTTATGTGGTTGTTCTTTAGAGCATATACCTAGAGGTTCTGGCAGTAAAATATCTTCTTCATCTACATTCTATATTCCTTTCATATTCTGAACATGGCGAGTCTATCAACGTCCTCATCTGACACAACAATGCGATACATATGGTATTCTAGCTAAGGTTCTATATAATTGGTATTTATTAATCCAAGAGTTGACATTATTTTAACAACTGGTTAACTTAGTCTAAGAGCTGGGGAATTTAGTTTCTGCCCTGTTCACATAGACATAGCATAGTTTGATAATAAACACAGATTATATACCTATGTACCTAACTTGTAGTTATTGATCATTTGATCATAATGCTAGAGAGCATAGATAATATTAATTATATATTAAGGATTTAATGTAGGTACATCGTACATTCGTACATGATACAAGATTATTTTATATTATATTATTATTATTATTATTATAATATCTGTGAAGTGTGAACGGCACCAAATTTTCTTATCTAATTCTCAAATGAATAAAATAGATAAATGAAATAGTTTATTATCTCTGTCTGTGCTTGCATGTGATTCTGTGACCAAGGTTGTCAAGGAGTATTGCGCATATGGAATCTCCCATTCGTACATAATAATTTTTATCACGTAATGATTACAATTTACAATTCAATAATCGAGATTTCAGATTAGTGCTTCAGTACTCAGTAGTCGTGACCATTAAGAATTTCGGACTTGGTTAAACTTAATCTCTTATTATTTTTAAAATTGGTTTCTATTTTATTGTTACGTATCGTAAAATCGCGTTTGAAGTTTAAAACCACATTTCATAGCGCTGGGTATTTTCCCGTTTATCATCAGTCTTAGTTGTACGTGACATGTCCGTTCCGAAATTACAGTAAGTACCTTTGTAATAAGTAATGAAATCGACTAAATATTAAAAAAAAAAAATAATAATAATAATGATAATAATTATGACGTTTTTCAGTTAAAATGTCTGATGCCATACCACCTCTGATACCCGAAACTCCACCTCCCATGACCAAATTGGACTGGGAAGATGATGAGGATTTTATGGACTATCCTCATCTGGCCTTGGAACTGCCTTCTGAGTCTAGTTTAAGTAAGTGTTCAAAATTGCAGGTGTATGTGGTGAGACTAACATTGTGTTTCGTATGCATAAAGGTCCAGATGGTGGGTGGAATCCTATTGATGAATTATCACTTCCTTATGATGGTGATATTGTTCATGAACCAGCGGTTTGTATTGAAGCAAACACCAATGAAAGCTTGTTAAAACAGCCATCAAGTATTGCAAAGAATGGCTTATCTACAGAACCATCATTATCAGAACAGGAACCTAGTTTACATAATTTATCCATATGGAAAGATAAAAAAGAAGTGCCTTGCGAAAATATAAAGAAATTAACATCCAATGACAATTATTGTGATAATGTCAATGTAATAGACTGTAATACAGAGATCAAACCTAATGAATCCTCTGAAAATGTAATAGATAATAATAGGAAAATAATTAACGATGACTTGTCTTTAACTTCTGAACAATATATTTGTGACATAGTAAATGTAAAAAATAATATAATACCACAACATTTACCAAATTTAGTAGTTCAATTAAACAACTCTAAGGTATATGAAAATAATGAGATTTATCAGCCTGAAGCCAATGTTAATTTTGAAAAATCAACAGATCAAGATACTTTGGTTAATGGTCATTTAGAGTGTGTAGATATTGAAGAATCGTCCAATCAAACCACCTGTGTTCACAATGTTTTATTAGAAGATTTAAAAAATGATGTAAGTGACACTGATACACCTAATAGTATGTATGCATTGTTAACTGATAATTCATCAACTAATAATAATAATAATAATAATAATAATATGATTAAAAATGATCAAGAAGAATACACAGATTTCTGTGATTTTGAAACTGATTTGCCTCATTCTTTAAATGTGCCTTTACCAAACAGAACATCTCAAGAACACCATGAAATTATTGAAGATCCTCAAACTGTTAATCAACATGATTTTGAGAATTTACCTTTAAAACAAGAGTTTAATGATGAACATTGTAAAATATTGAAAAATATTTCTTTATTGGTTGAGAATAAAGTAGAACAAAATATAGAATCAATTAATGCTAATTGTTCAACATTTCAATACAATGAAAATAATGTTGGGCATAATTCGGATTCTGAATTTGATGAATTTTCTGACTTTCATGTATTTTCAAATTCAACTTCCAAAAAAAAATCAATATGTGGTACAAATGACGATGATGATTTCTGTAATTATGAAACTTGTAGACAAGACTATAATGATAAAGTAGAGTTCAAACATTCCAATGTTGAACCAGTGAATTGTGTTTCCAGTAATGACAATGGTTCAATATTGAAATCTGATAACCAAAAATGTATAATTAACAATGATGCTGATGATGATGACAATTTCTGTGATTTTGAATCTGGTTATATTACACCAGGTCATACAAGTGATCAAGTTATAGATTTAAAACAAAATTATGCAATATTAGATTCAGAAACCCATGTTCAACTTGATTATAAACAATTTTGTAAGGATGCTTTTCAAGGAGATTTTGTAAGCCTTTTTTTTGTATTAATACATTTATTTATATTAACTTTTTAATATTATTGAATATTAAATAGGAGTTATGTGAGGAAGCTGATTTGCAAAACTTAGATAATGAGTTAAATGAGTCTCATGTGTGGCAGAGTTTAAAAGATGTAGACTCAAGTCCAGCCCTTAACTATAATTGGACCAAATCGGAATCAAATAATGTTTTCCTTGCTTCACTCTCAATTGATTCTCGGAACATAGTAAGATCAACACCACATTTTACTAATGATTAAATTGTAAATATTTCATTTTTTTTTTATTAATATTGGATTTAAATATGGCAGTTGTATGGTGCTTCTTGGAACCCAAAAGTCCCTAGATTCGCTGCAAATATGTCTAATAATCCATTGGAACCATTAAAAGCTTCTAACAATGACACAACTGATACAAAAATATCGCAATCTTTTTCCAATGGTCCAATGCAGGTGAATTAAATTTCACTTTCTTAATAAACTTAATATCCTTAAGGCGCTAAATACATTTTTATATATTATAATGAAGGATACAGTACCGGACCCCGAATTCGACTGGAAAAGCAGTGGTTTAATAAATCCATTGGACTGTAAGTATTCCATAGATGTCTTAAATCTACAGTAAATTCTACTGTCTATAAATCATTTACATAATAATTTTTTTTCAAAATAGTATTCAAAATTATAAAAAAATCATTAAAAATTAAAAATTAGTATTTATTTTATAACATATAAAAGAAAATTTTAACTGCATAATATCTAGTCACTGAATTTTCTTAAGTGTTAATTTTGGATAAACATAAAATAGAGGGACTGGACAAATGTAAAATATCTTGCACATTCCTGTAACCCGATCCAAAAACAACCAGAATATTATCTAATAAAAACAAATAGCTTAAATTGTAAAAAAGTGGCATTTGATACCAAAGTTGTACTTTAAATCTCTATATATGTAAATAATAATAATAAGACATGGGTAATTTTGTAAATGGTACTTTATTTGTTTTAAATTATAAGACTATGATATATATATATATGAATAAATAAATATATTTATGAGATATTAATTCATATATATTTGTTTTGTTGATTAATTTTATAATTTTGAAACTATTATTTTATTATTAAATATAATTAAGAGATTTATAAATTTGAATCATGTTTTTGTTTTTGAATAATTCTAATCAAAAAAAAAAACAAAAATCAAAATTAATGCTAACAAATTTTGTACCATATTATTTAACTATTAGCAATTAGCAAATCCAATAAATAAATTGACAATAACAAAACTGTGCTGTGTAATTGGTTTCAAGTAGACACCTGAAAAGACAAATCAAGTTTTTTTACATCATTAACTATTTATGTTTATAATTGATAAATATTAGGGTAACAAAAACCATCAAAATAACAACTCTTACAATCTTTTAAATATTCAAAATACCTTGTAATAAATCTATATAATATACATAATACATATACATATATATATCTATTATACAGATCATTAATTGCATTATTTTCTAATAACTACTCATTTATACGAGGTATTTCTAATTATATCGTAACTGTATTATATGCGAGATTATATGTTTGGAATTTCTTGTTTTTCTTTATAATGTATTTAGAAATGTCTTATGGCGGATAAGGGGGGGGGGCACACAACAAATTTAAATTATACTTAATTATAAGTTATTACTCATATTTTCTATCTCAAAATAATGTAATAAAAATATAATATGGTGAATGGGTGAGGCACAGGCCTCATGTGCCGGTTATAACACCCCTGAATGTAGGATATAATAAATGGTGATAAGTATTAACCATAAGTTGCAACATAAATATTATTTTTTTTTTTTTAAATTCATATTTAATTTATTAACAATATGCAATTTTTGAATGTTTATGTAATTATGATTTATCATATAACTGGTTAAATGCTGAAATAATATATGTTATCATAAATAAACAATAATTCAATTACTTTTATTATTATTTTTATTCAGTCAAATTTGGTGTGGTAAGAGGTTTCTCATTGTCTTATCGTCTATTATTATCATTATATCTACTGAATTATTAAAAAAAATTAAACATTAAAAAATTGTATTTATCCTTTTTCTAGCCACAAGATATAGTAGATGGAAATTAATAAATCATTCTAAATTATTGACTTTGGTAAACACTTATATTAAGATAAATAGTGTTTTGTATTTTCGGCTGTTTAATATCTTATTTTTTATATATTAAATAAGTTTTTTAAATTATTTTCTTACACAGTTATATGGGATGAATTAATAAAATTTAATAACTTAATATATATGGTAATTTATTTTACGGAAGGCACTTCATACTTCAGAATACACTATTACTAACGTTTTTGAATATATTTCTTTTACATAATTTTTGAGTCATTATAACATAAATTTATTATTTATTATTTCATTATTTTGGAGAAAAATGAGATTTTTTGCTATATTTTATATTTATAGTTTTTAAAGTTTTCTACTGTTTTGAATGACAACATACACTTTCAATTTAATATTATTTGCAGTAAATTGGTCTATCAAAATCAAAATTTTCGGTTAACTAGTTTATTAGTTCTAACTTATAACTAATAAGTATTTAATGTTTTGATAACCAAAGTAGTGGATCAATATTTAGATTGATATTCCTATACCACTCCTCTGTTCAACTAAGCTTTAAATACTTTTAGATGTAACTCATAAATAACTTGTCATAAAATTGATTTTTATTTATCAAAGTACTCTAAAAAATGTTTAGCTTTGAAATAAAGAGTTAAAAATGCACATTGTCGTAAAAAAAAGTAAAAAATTGGGAAAATAGATTAAATTTTGTTTATTAATGACTAAATATTGTGTGAAAAAATATTTTTCAAGATTTTAATATTTTTTGAAATTATGAGTATTAAATCAAATGGATCACCTGGTATGTAATGTTAACTTATAAATTATAAAACGTTCTCTACATGAAGATTTTTGTCAATAAGTTGTATGTATAGTGTATATTATATGTATACAATTGTATTATATATCTTATGATTTTATTCAAGAAATTATTTTTTGACATCTCAGTAAATTTTCCCTGTGTGAACAAAGTATAATTTTCTTTACCACAAATGGTATATGACTACAAATCAAATTACATATTTATTGCTTATTAGTTATTACCAATTTCATTCTGATGAACAAATAATGTACCAAATAATATATTACCTCAATCCATATTTACGCGACAGCCAACATGTTATCTCTGAAGAGTTCACATTTTAAGTATATATTTTTGATTCCATCATATATTTTTTCAATTCAGTTAGATATGAAACAGTATTAATTTACATTTTTAACTTTTCATATTTTTTATACTAGACTGATCAATTGCATTGTTTAATATATGAGATATAGATACACAATTAATTAAAATAGTTTTACATTTTTAATATAGTCAAGTTATTAACTTTTGTTTAATGTAATATAAAATTTAGTTTCTTTTGTTAAGTCAACTTATTATATACCTACCAACACTGGTGTTGAAAAAGGAAATATTGGTAGTTAATAAATTTGTTTTTGGTAAAAATATAAAAATATTTGAAATTTTTATTTGATAATCTGGTAATTTATCTCACACGAATGCTTTTTACTAAATGAATTGCCTTTTAATCATGCTTAAAATAATTGTTAATTGGTGGTGGAGCTAAAACGTGCATTTATTATGGGCTAATTAGGTAATCATACGTCGCTACTCGATCTTGAACTCCTTGATACACTTGCACCATGCTGTACAAATGCTCGTGAGTATTTCTATTTTTGCTTAATGTGTAATAATTTGTAACAAAATAATGTTTTTAAGAGGGTGCTTTACCAGTATGTGTTGTTTCTGTCTTACAAATGTAAAATACACCAACTTTATATTGCTACTTTCAATAAAGGAGTGAATTGAATTACTTTCAAATTTTAAAGTAATAAATGATAACATTAAATGTGTAATTAATGTTTTTATATAATTTTAATTCAAGTAAGTTATTAACTCTAGCTTAACAATTATAATGTCATAAGAAAACAATATACAAATACTGATAATGTTATTAATTTTTACCTTTAAGTTAACATGTTTACTTAAATGTGAAAGCTGACAATATAAAATAATTTAATTAACTGAATGAAAATTTTGCTATTTTGCATATGTTGTAAGACGGATGTGACATGTGTGGATATCCTATGCATTTATGCATTGCTTTGCTGTTATGCTAAATGTTCTTAAACTTAAAAATTGAAGTAGTTCATTTTGTAATAGTCTTTATGGTACCATTTTTTATGAATTATTCTAAGTCTTAGTATGTTATTAATTAATAATAAATAATAATTTTACTCTAAAGTCTAAATAATAAGTATGTTTAAACTGTAAATGTTATTATTATGATTTTTGTGATTAATTGTTTTTCTTATAATTATATAATGTGTTCCATGAATAAGTGATCGGCCAGTGTCATATAATTGTGTACCTTAAGTTATGTAATAAACCTCTTTTAAGGGTGGGTCTAACTTTTCAATTTTTTAGTATTAGGTACTCCAACTTTATTTTTAACAAATTTGAACTTACTTTACATTTGTTAATGTATTTTTAGAACTTTTCAACTTTTTATTGTATTTTTTTAAATTTTAAAGGTACCTATTTTATTCTTCTATTAACTATCATATTCAATCAAACAATGAATGTACAAATCATTTTTATTGTTCTACAGAATAATACCTAGAATACTAAATTTTATCTTCCTAAATTTCACTTCTTTGAGAGTACATGCCTCACCTAAGCTCATTATCCAGTATGTATTTTCCATTGACAATAATTACCTCTATAATAACAATCACAAAAATTGTGTCCCTTTGAGCAGTATGTATTATCCATTGACAATAATTACCTCTATAATAACAATCACAAAAATTGTGTCCCTTTGAGCAGTGGTATCAATCAGAAATGATGAAAGATATGAAGACAAAATGTAGTATTCTATGCTCTATCATAGGTATTATTCTGTAGTATTATACAATGAAAATCAAAACTGTAGTATAAATAAATAGTATAAATATGTCGTCATTTATACTTATTCGAGATTTCCTTTCAAAAATGCTATTCTTTTCCAACCTTTTTTTACTTTATAAATTTAATAATAATGATTTAAACATTTCTGATTTGATTATGTATGTAAGTTTATTGTAAAATAAAATAGATTAATATATAAAAAAAATATTGCAATTAGAGTACAAAAGTTTTGAAGATACATCAATAGCAATTATTAATGGGTTCAATTTTGTTTAAAAAAAAGTTGAATAGCCATTTACTAAAAAAATAAAAAAGTTAGATCCACCCTTTAAAGGGTTTTTTTTTCATAAAATAAGATATTAGGTATACTCTCATATGAAGTAGGCTTGTCACTTCTTCATGTGACACATTGTGTAACTAATATAAAAATTATGAACGATTATAATTTACTAGCTTATTTTTGTATACAACATTTTTACTATACCGTATATACTATTATTATATAAATTGCTTCAATTATTTTAAGAAGTGTACATTTGCATAATATTATGTTTTGTTATAGAATTTTATTAAATTCATACCATTCTTAATTCTTATATCTTATTTTGTTTTTTCATACTTGAACATTATTCTTGCATATATTTCAATAATAATGTGAAAATGTACATAAATAATGTATTGATACTAAAATTTATATATTATTTTGAGAATTAATGAGTTACATATTTACTTCCAAAAATAAATTGAATATTGTAATATACATTATTTATAATTATATGAATAAACATGGTATAACTTGGGTTATCTTGTCACATCTGTACTTCATTCATATATTTTAATTTTTTATTTTGTGTTAATTAACTTTAGTTCAGCCTCAAACATGGAAAACATCTGAGGTTGTAAAAGAAGAAGAAACGCCCATTCAAAGTAGTCCTGAAAGTGTAGATGTGTTTGATGAGTTTTTCAGTGCATCATTACCGTCATCATCCGACAATCAATCAATAGATACCATTGAAAGTCCAAGTTCTTTCATAGCAACAGTGAGTCCTGAAGCACAAAGAATTTTGGATAATTTGCCTGATTTCAAGGTATTGCAAAAACCATATTTAGTGATATTAAAAAAAGAAAACAATTTATTTCTGAATTAATTTTTTTTTTATAAACAATATTATATAAGAATGCTAGATCACTGCAACGAGAAAGAATATCTTACATTTTTTCTTGTTCAAATCAAGTCCATTATGTGCAATAAGTTAAACTAATCTGTCCAAATTGTTTTCATTTGTAAATTAATTTAAAAAACTATTTTTGATTAATCTATGTATTCCTGTTAGTTTTTTGACTTTATCATAACAAAAAAATTATCATGATTCCCATGTTTTTAAAGGATTTTCATCTTCATGATAATGGAGGGTTTTTTTTTTAGAAAAAATTGTTTTTTATGTTCTTAACTTTATTTATTAATTTAAGAGGTTTAAGTTATAAAAATTAAAACTGAATTGTATTTCAAAAATGCATGAAAAAATTCATAATTGCTTTAAACTCCAAAAGCATTAGAAATATTTGTGCTTCTAAATAATAATTAATATTATTACATTTCTAGTCTATATGTAGCTTTCAAAACCTATTTTAGTATTTCATAGTTACTTATGCATTCAATATACAGAGTTCTATATGTTTTGTTTAAATAAAATATATGTTACCAGTTTTCTTAGTCGATATTTTAATTACTTCCATTTTTTTTGACTGGGTGTCTATCATTACATCTGTGTTCTATATAATATATTATCACATTGTAGCATATTTTCTGAGATTATCTGATCTTCTTCGCTTGTGTATTATTTATTTAATCTTTAAAAAATTTGTAATCATGAACATACATTTTTAACAATATCCATTATCTATAGTTAAATCAAAAACTTATAAATTAATTTACCTCATTCACTGAATGCCGTCGTGATAACAATTTACTGATTGCATACCTGATTACTACCTATGCACTGATTTATTGTTTTTCATAACTATTAGGTTAATAATTTCCAGTCTGATTTTTCATTATAAACTATAAAAGGCTACAATTTAATTACCAGCTACAAGTAGTTAATAGTTTGTTTGATTTAAATTTTCAATTGATTTATAGAACTCTGTACAAACTGCTCAAAAATAAAATATGGAATGGCTTATAGTTGTTGAATTTGCTTATAAATTAAGGATTGTTAACTGTTTTTGTTGTTGATAGATATTTAATTGTATAAATATTAAAATATCAAGATAATTGGATGAATAGAAAAAAAATGAATGTGAAAAATGTTTTAATAGTTAAATTAATGTTATATACCTACGTATAAACTAAACTTAAATGTTTTGTATTCATGTTTAATATGTTTATAATATGATACAGGGTGGGGCAGTAAAACAGCCAATTTCAAAGTCAAATTATAAAATATATAATCAAATAAAAATTAATTAATTGTTAGTATATTACAATGAAGAACATAACATACCATAGTATATTTTTTAAATAATTTTTCTTAAAGTGACTGCTATCTCTTCTTAAGCTTTCATTTTATCTTCCTTAAATTGGATGATGCATTAATATAACAATTAATACAAAATGAATTCTGAGCAGATACAAACTTCAATTATTCTTGTAAAACATCATCACAAAATTATGTTGTGTACTAAATTGTGCATTTTTTTTTAAAGGAATAATATTTTGTGAACAAAATTATTATTATAAATTATAAATTATTGTCAGTATCTTTTATTATTATCAGGAGAATAACCTATTTTTTAAATTGTTCGTTTTCCTTCCTCACTCTGTATTATATTTTAGTCAGTTCACCGACATTTCCTTGGTAGCTCATCTAGTCTTTTAATAGTTCTGTTAGATAGGTACCAAATATATATTAATTATATTATTTATATATAATACAATATGCTTCATATTTTAGTTTATTTTGGGAAACCTATTTAATTTTTCTTCATTGTTTTCAATGTGTTGTTTGTCAGTAATATTCCAATGGTTTTATTAAACCCGAGATTTTAAAACTGCATTCCTTTTTTTTTTGTTATCACCTTATTTATACCTTATATATTAATCCAAATTATTTATGGTAATATACATTATGGATTCAATTCGTATATTTTTTTCCATTAATATTATATTTGTAAGAATATGAGAATAATATGCTCAATTAATATTTGTTTTAATAAAAATGTTTAGCTGTTCAAATTTCTTGTTTCTGATACTAACTTAGTGGTGGTTTTGACTATATTTTCAAAAAGTTTTTTTCCTGAGACTGTAACTTAAACTAATACAGATAAAATATAAATTAATTTGCTTAAGGACTATCTAAAATAATTTCTAATAAGTTTAGTTTATATTAAGTTAAATATAAACCAAGTATTGTCGGTTCATATTTACAAATTATAATGGAACGATTCAATATGAGTACTTTTAACTTTTGACTTTGTGAGTTGCATGTTCATTTTTTATTCATTTATTTTTGTTTGTATTTATATATGTGTAATTAGCAAGCATACTAATTTAGCTTCATTGAGTAGTCAATAATCAGTGTTAACGAAAAAGACCATTGTTTTTAAATATTCCATAACTTAAAACATTCATATTTTGTCTGTGTGTACACTTTATAAATTCCTAAACTTATATCACTTACCTATCCAAAAAATAAAAATCGGTAGTTCTATGTAAAATAAAATATTTTTAAAGGTTTGATAGTTATCTTAGAACAAATTAAATTTTTTTTCAAATTGAATGAACTTTTGTAGCTATAAAGTATAACATTTATAAATTACTTATTTTTATGTGTTAAGTATTGTGCCACCTCACTTGCCTCGCTGCCAAAAACCGCCACTACAATTGACTTAAAGTATATTGAATACAATTTAATGTATTTACTATTTAGTGACATTTTATTCTTGACCTCATATTTTATCAAAAATCAGTAAATAGTTTATTTTCAATATTATTTTTTAGAAAATATTGGTGACTAACAATTAACTGTGATTAATGATTTTTATTTTATGTAAAAAATGGAATAAATAAAGTATTATTTTTTGTGCAATACAATTTTTAAATATTACTAAAAAGATAACTTATTGACAACTACAATCAAATTAAAGCAGATAGTAGCACCTTACATAATTTAATTGCTAAAAGTATTTTATAATTAAAAATGAAACATAATTTTTTCAACTTTTATATTTTAAATAGGTAGACACCACAATAATTGTTATAAAGCTATACATTATAAATGTATCTTTCATTTATTTTCATTCAATTATTTTAGATGTTTCAGACTGGTGTAGCAATATTTTATTTAATTTAAAAAAGATTAATGTGTCAATAACAAAGTTTTTTCTCTAAATGATTGAATAGTATACTAATGATGTGTATTTTATCTTATGTTTAAAGTGGATTAAGTACTTACATTTATTCAACAGCGTTTATTAATATTTTATATCTTAAGTGTTTACAATTGTTTAATGTAATGTTGCAAATTATAAATTGCAATAAGTCATTTATTTAGGTAGTTAAAGTATGTGTTTTAATATAAATATTCTTTGTAGTTACCACACACATAGTAAATGTTTTAACTTTGGAAGCTATGTCTTGACTATCAAAAGTTTGTAAAATTTGATCAAGATATTTGTACTTATTTTATTAATATTTTCCTTATTAAAGTCTATACATTTAGGTCTTCATAATCCGTCCTCTTATTAGTTTTATTGTATTAAAATTATTTGTATTGATAATTTTTGATCTCTATGGTAATGTACGAAGTACTTAAATTAATTGGTTGATAGTAGGTAAGTAGTGTTTACCAGTATTTTTCTGTTATATTAGTCTCTTTAATGGTGTGTTTCACTATTCAGTAAAAAATAATTATTTATTAGTTAAGCATTTGTCAGTTTTATTTGTAATATATTTTCAAACCGTACGATTATATAAGCTTAAAAATATCTCATATTTAAACGTTTGTTGAATAAATTAAGTAGGTAACACAAAATAAGAGTTATTTCAACTTCTCTGTAATTTGATGCTAGACATGTGGATTCTTATGTTAGTTATTCGGTATCTATGTAAATATAACTATTATTTTTTTATTAAAAAGAAAAAAAGTAATAGTAATGTAACCCACATTTAACTTGAAAAATATTATGACTGCTAACATTCCTTGTATTTTTAAATTAGATACATTAACAATAACATGTTGTTGAAGTTTGAATGAATTTTTGTGTTTAAGGTTTGCTCTAAGTGATTACTTATTATTATTATTATTATTATTATTATTATTACTATAATTAATATAACTTTGTTGAATAATGTTGTTTGTATTAAATATAATTATATTTGGTTTATAAGACAAAGTGTTATAATTTCATTTTTTTATGCATATATTTTGGTTTGCAACTATAAATGCAATGAACCAAACCCTATAATTACCTACATGCAAAAATATGACTTCTATAAAAATTATGTTTTCTCAATGTTTATGAACTTGTAACAATAAACTGTTACTGGGTTACTTATAATTTTGGGGAATTATTTAGTTATGTAATACAATAAATATTATTAGATAAGTATTATACAGTATTCTGTTATTAAAATCATGAAAATAGATTATACTAATAAAAAAGAGAGACAGTCATAACATGGTACTTATTAAATATTATTTTAATATCTTAATTCATTATTGCATAGATTAAAAAATATTTAAGTATATAATAATTATATTTACCTGGCTATACAATATATTTCATTACATATTTATTTTAATCTGTGGTTAAAGTTAACGATACCAGACGTATCATATAATTAGGGGCTATTGTCCGGCTGTTGAGATCTGCTTCTTCATTTTTAAATGATTCCACTTTTGTCATGCATTCATAAAAATTCAAAATAAGTACATATTTATTTATTTATTTTATTTGTATGATAAATAATTAGTATTTATTATGTATGGCTTTAGTTATAATATTGAAACAATCAAAGCATTATTCACTATCATTCAACATTCAATTATCAATTATAATTACAGTAGACATTATTTATAATGACGTTCAAAGGACCAATAGTCATAACTACCAATACAACTTAACATATCAAACCTACCTATGCATTTTTTTTGCGTCTTTTACTTTAAGCCTTAAATTTTTAAGTCACAAAACCCGATATATCACTATACAACCGATGTCATTATAAACAATTTCTATAATACCTTTATTATAAAAACATAATATATTTTATTAAATGTAGTAGATATTAGAATGTTTAAAATATACTACTATTAAATATTATTATTTTATTAAGGTAAAATTAATTTAAGTGTTTTACATTTTTATCCAATATGTAGTCAATAGGTATCTGTAATTGTTTACATTTTTAGAAATTGCCCTTCTTCTGGATAGGGAAATAATTATGATCACACACCCACACTAGTTATAGTTGAATTAGGTATATATCTAAATACAATATAACAGATAGAATTGAATAAAAATAAGTACTTTATTAGTAACTAAACATATTTAACCCGTGTTCGTAAATCGTAATTGGCTTTAAGGTTTTCATAGTTGGTCAAAATAAGTTCACAATCGGTTTGATGTATGGATTAATATGTTAAATTTAAACATCAAAATATTACTGTTTTATTACAGAATCGATAATTAAGGACAAACAAAACCATCACCCTTACAATTAAGCCCATTCAATTAATATTATATGTAACTGACAATATGACATAACGTGTCCTATTTCAATTCCAAACGTTGTTCATACAGGTACTCATATTCCGCTAATAAATATTATTAGCTGAATGCGGTTCTTGTCCATGGGGTTTGCGGTTTACATAATACATGGGTACACATGAGTTGAGTCCCGTAAAAAGGTATACTCGAATTGCGTCCAAAAAAAAATCATGATGAAATTCGTGTATTTTAATCAGGGGTTCTTAAATAAATGAAAAAATTCTTATAAATATAATTACAAGTCAATCAAAAATGTGTTTATCAAATGTAATACAATAGTAAATAAAATGTTGAATCACTTAAATTTTTATCAAAATCAATATAGTCCATAATGTATTAAAATAAATTATAATAATGATAATGATTTTAAACAAAATATCAATCAGAAATTAGGTTTATACATATAAGATACCAGTGCCGTATTTCCCAGTAAACACTATATAAGCTAGTGCTTAGGGTGGCAAATAATTTTTAATATTACATTTTTACTATATGTAACTAGGACTAAAATAAAACGAAACTAATTATTTAATGTTTTTAGGCCAACGGGATTGTGGTAATATTTATATTTTATGTTTTCCAATTTCATAATCGTAGAGTTGTATGTTTTTATTGTTCATCATTAAAATTTTAAGTAAAAAATAAAAAACTATAATTGTATGCTTTAATAACATTTTTTAGACTAGAAAAATATTTATATTAAAAGGCGGCAAATTATTTAGTGCTTAAAGCGGCACAATGGTTAAATCCGGCACTGTAAGATACGCTTTTTACAAAATGTGACCTTGTTATTTAATTTAAATTTACAGATATAGTATAGGTATTAGGTAGAATAGCGGTCGTACTTTTATTGTCAATGATGACGATAAACGAACTTGCTCGTTATTGATTATCAACCAGGAATCGGTAACAAAATCCATCCCTTATCGTAATTTATAATATTAGGCGCAATATAGGTACTATACAATTTATCGAAACATAATATTGAGTCCAGGCTCCCTTATAATTAATACACCACAAAGAACCCCTGAAAACGAAATGAAAATTCGACCACCTAACCATTTATAGTAGGATGCAATCAAGCAATTAGTTTTGTGTGTATCTTTTTTTATGGGACGCAAATTTAAGATGCCCCGAATTGCAAGGGCTGATATTTGATGTCGGGTCGAAAACGTAATAAAGTGGTGACGCTCCAAACTCCGAATCCAATGTGATTGAGATATAAATACTTAAAATACTAAATCACGTGTTGTACACAAGGTCGGATCAACTACCTCAGCCTTCTGATCGATACAAGTTTTATGATGAAAGTACCTAAACGTTTTGGGCCTCGAAAGAAGACAGTCGAAAATTGTGAACTATTAGAGGTTCTGCATGACACTTATTTTTTCTTGATCGATACCAAACACAAAAATTAAAAGGTTTACAAGTTGGTAGGTACCGCTCTGCTTTACAGACGGACAGTTAGTGTTGAGTTTGTCATTCGCCATTGTAATGGATAGATCTGTCATATTTTAAATCGATGGTTAATTATTGTATACAACAAAACTGTTCTGAGCGGAGTCGGTGTTCCAGCCTTCCATACTTGAATAAATGATCAAGTTTAATAATTAAAAAAAAATAATGAAATCGATATTTTCTCATGTCAATAATATAATAAAGCTCTACATTCCGGTGTACTTTATTTTTTGTTAAATGTAGAAAAAATTTTGAGAAATCTTCTATTACATTTTTAAACGTTAGCTATAAAAATATACGTTTTTATAAATTTCTAATTGAAAAATTGTATGCTAATTTTTGGGATTTTGACCTAAGGCGCCAAAATTCCAACTTAAGACAATCATAACATTTTATTGTTTATTTATGCTCAGCTTTCATTTTAATCACACATTAAATAACTCAAAATATTAACTCATAATATTACTTCAAAATAAAGAAAATAGTAAATACACATTAAAAATTAAAAATATAATAAGGGTACACTTACATACATTTACACTGTACACAAAAGTTTACAATATGTCAATAAAATAATAATATTCAATTCAAATCTAAAGAATTAAGTCTAGCCTTCTATTTTTACTCTTGGCAAACTGGTTAATGAATTCATTAGGCGTAATTTCAACATCATTATGTACATTCAGCAGAACTAATCCAACTAATCTCTCGTCAGTCTTCATTCATTCTATTTCTCAACCAGATTTTTAACCTCTTCAGGGTAAAGAAACTTCTATCTGCCGATGAAACTGTCACAGGTAATACAACCAAAATA